ATATTTTGACATAGCATTCTTTAACAGACAGTATGCATACCCAACATTTGTCAAATAATTTTTTTCTTATAGTTTAACTAAATTCTTTCAGCATTAGATTGTTTCTAATAGGAATTTATTTAAAATATATAATTTAATCAAAGCTCTACATTCACCATAATCACCATTTTGAATAGACCATATTATTGCTTATTTTTTAATCATTTACAAATTAATATAAATCATGATGCATCAAAAACTTACAGATTAGTCTATATTCAAATAAAAATTAGTCTATATTTAAATAAAAATTTTCAATTTATTCATTGTAGTACAATATTTTAAACATGAAATTTTAATATGCTATCAATATTGTTTGTATTAAACTTTAAACATTCTACAATATAATGATTTTAACTGCGCTATATATATATTTTGATTTAACACGGCTAATTTGTTTACAGACAATTACTTTTGTCTTTTTCATTTTTGCAGAAAAACATTACTTATTAATTACAGCTAGACAATACGTTTCAACTACTATGAGTGAACAGTAATGATCACAGTACAAAATATTTACTGACTTTATTGGATACATGATCAATAAATTAATTTTTAAATGTTTTAATTTAGCGGTCAAGTTTATTAAGTACACTGAATGTTTCTACCACATCTACAATCTCAAACACATCGTGCTTTAAATTACTTTTCTAGCTGATTTTTAACTCAAGGAAAAACATTACCTACGATACTACTTTATCATGTAACTATCATTGAAATTTATAAAGTTTACAAAAAACTACTAAATTATAAATACCTTGAATAGTTGAAACGAAATCTGCTGAGCGAAAACAAGATGGCGAGGTTGTCTTATGAACAAGCATGAAGGAGTTACAACTCAACATAAGCAGTTGAAAAAATTTTTCGAGTTCAATCGTTCGCAAACTACCACTAATATTATCTTGCACTTTCTGCCATAAAATTGCATTGGCTGAAAATGATATTTTAAGTAATATTTAATTTATCGTTCTCCTTCATAAATAAATGTTTATTTATTAGTAATATGGGATAACCTTTCGCAAAAATGTGGCTCTTTTTGGACCAAAATAATGAAATAGATGATAATTTTGAAATTTCGAATGTTAGATCGAATACTATTTAATTTTATATAATATTAGTTGTAATATTAGAAGATAGGATTCAGGAGTCTTGCGTTTTCTAGCACGGCAGTTATATTGCATCTTTCTAATATTAGATCATAGCTTTTTGCTATCTGGGTTTAACTATAAATTAATAAGTTGAGGAAAATTAAAATGCTTACAAACCCAAATTTAATTTTTTATTCCAATTATGAATTTTTCACAAAATAATTTACAATCGAGGTTTGTTTTTGTTTTCGGGAGTTTTCAAAAAGAGCCTTCAAGATTTGAAAAAGTTCATTCATTTCCTGAATGAAATTGAAAATAATCACGCAGAGATTCTAGTGCCTGTAAAGGGACTGTGTGAGTTGGGGGAACTTTTGCGGTATCTTCTTCATCAATGTCGTCTATCTCTTCATCATTCTCGTCACCATTTATTTCAGCTGCAATTTCTGCAATATCTCGTATTTGAGCCGTTATTAAATGCTCATCTTCTTCAACGAATTCGTTGAAAGTACAATTACCCATTCCACCAGACACAGTATTCCAATCCTCTTCGCTAATGTCGTTTTCATTTTCGGGCTCTGGCTCTTCACATTCAGATTCTTCTGGAAGCAGAAATCCCGCTTTTTTTAAGTAGTTTTGATTACACTTGTCTGTGATGCTTCTCCTTGATGAGCACATCATGTGCATTGCATCAAGGACAGTGATTTGCTTTAGCTCGTCTTTTGCCTGAAGTTTTGTTTCCATGGCAGCCAAAAGACGACGAGTTAAAGTTTTTCTATAGTGTACTTTTACACAACGGATGATGCTTAGATCCAAGGGTGGAATTTTGCTAGTGCAATTTGCAGGAAAGAAAACAACTTTCGTGTTATTGAAATTCGGTAAGTCTTTTGGATGAGCAGGGCATTGATCCATGAGTAAAGGAACTTTTAATTTTTCTTTTTCCTTTCTCTCATCAAATTTATGAAGGAAATCCAAAAAAATGTTCGTTGTCATCTACGCCGTTTTATTGCTACTATAGTCGCATGGGAGCTTTTTCACATTCTTAAAGCATCGCGGTTTGCTTGATCATCCCATGACTAATGGTGTGAATTTTTCTGAGCCATCAGCGTTGCAACATAACAAGACAGTTAACCTTTCTTCACTTTTCTTCCCCCCATGACATGATTCTCCTTTAAATGATTAAGTTTTGTCTGGCATCATTTAAAAAAAGTCCTGTTTCGTCGCAATTGTCGATGTTTTTTAGTTCGCATCCTTTTATTAAAGTGGCCAATTGCTCCTTTCACTGTTGAACAGTTTCTTCACTGACACTTCCACTTTCTCCAGAAAGGACACGAGTTGCTAAACCATGTCTGTTTTTAAATTTTTCAATCCATCCGTGAGATGCTGAAAAGTTTTGCATATCAAAATTCTTGGACAACTCTACAGCTTTCTCTCTCAAGAGTTCAACATTAATGGGAATGTTTGAAGCACGAGATTCTTTAAACCATGTCAACTAAACTTTTTCAAATTCCTCGTACTTCCCACCTTGAATCCTGCTTCTTTTCTTCGATTGCACACCACATTCTTGATTAGCTATTAAAATCGCTTCTCGATTTTTTAAAATCCCTCTTAACGTTGATTCGGGGACATTAAAAGTCTCCGCCAAAGCCTTTTTCGAGATGAAAGAATTTTTTTATTACATCCATTTTAAATTAAAGTGACAATTTTGCTCTCTTCGCCATGCTGAAAAGTAAGTATCTAACTAAACACCGACAATCTTCAGTTAGTCGACGATGTCACATGGTTTTCGCACTAACATTTTCCATTGGCTGTCAGTTTTACCTACCTCAATTACAACAGCGATCCCTCTTTTTACCCCTCTAAGTGAAATGTGTTCCTGGAATTTGAACAATAGGGATAAGAGAAAAAAGAGGAAAGCAGTAGGGGAGTCATTTAAGGCCTTAAAACGAGGGTTGTTACCACACAAAGATAAGAAAAACGAGAGCATTCTAAGAAAAACATGTCAAAAGGATGAAAATTCTTATGACAGGCAATATGCTACAATTTTGAGACCCCTCCTTTTCAAAGTGAGAAAGTTTTTGCGCCGCGCATAAGTGAGAGATCACTGTATATATATATATATATGTTACAGCCAAAGCCCAAAGTCCGGCCACTTCGCTTCGCGAAGTGTACACGATGTTCCGGCCAAAACGCGATGCGCTCATTCAAGAATGCCCAGTCAAGAATGCAAATTTTTTATGTTGACCATTTTACTACGTTTTAACATCTTTTGTATTTCAAATAACTTTTACTTTACAGAAAAAAAAATTGTAGTGGTATGTTTTTTCACATACCGTGTGGTACGGTGGGACCACAATTTTTTAATATTTGTTTTATTAAAAAGTTAATTTGCTAATATTGCCCTTTTTGTTCTCTTTTTCAATTTAAAAATATAAACCTTCTAATTTAAAAATATAAAAAATAAACAAGTTTTTAAATTAAAATTTAATTTTTTACTTTGTCTCAAATGGCCACATCCCACGGCATTTTGCTGCGGGTACCGCGGTTAATAATTTTTAAAGAATGAAGTAATGGTTATACAGAGCCAATAATACGTGTCAATGATTTTTTCTTCCAACTTTGGCTGATCCTTCCATGTCACTTCGCGGTCTGGACGGCCAATTCCCGAAATCAAGAAAATATTGGACATTGGCCAGCTAATTTACAGCGTTCTTAGCCATTTCGCGAAGTGGCCGAATTCGGGCTTTGGCCGTAACACACAGACACACACACGCACGCACGCATATATATGTATATGTATGTATATATATATATATATATNATATTTTCGATAATAATATTGCATGTTTAAAAACCCTCTGTTATATATATATATATATATATATATATATATTAAACAGAGGGTTTTTAAACATGCAATATTATTATCGAAAATATTTAATAATGGTAGTCATCATTTTTGATCATCGCGGTATTAGTTCTATTTTTTCAGCCTGCTATGAATCATTTTGATGGATCGGCACTTAGTACGACGTCATGCATACGGCGACGACTTTACATGATTAAATTTAGTAAAAAATGATATAAATGTTCAACACCGCAAAAGAAAGGTTAGCTGTACATAGAGTATTGCTTAATTTGTGATGGTCAAACTTTGTCCCAATTTCTCCCTAAATCAGCCTTCAATTTTATTGTATTCGAACTTGAATTGCATTTATACTTTATTTTACATTATTTACAAATGAAAAATTTGAGAAAAGAATGTATCAACAAAAGAAACACATAGTTTCTTTTACCTTTTAAAATATAAATTCTTTGACGTCGTGAAATTTTCAACATTTATTTTAGTTGAGCTAACCTAATATAAATACTTAATGAGAGCACGCAATAAGCTCTTAATAAAACTCACTTTTGTTTAGGTAGTTCTGTACGCAGGTAAATCACTTACTTAAATCCTTGAAAAGCTCTTTCTTTGGTCTTCAAAGGGAGTCATTAAGTAGAGCTCATGAATCTTGTTACCCTATTTGAAAAAAAAAATAGGTTGAGAAATGTATAAGAAATGATATTTTGCTTTAATTTTACAGATATGATTCTATCGCACGAGTTTTATCGATCATATGGTTTTCCTTTTCTCAAATGAAAGAGCTTGACTCATACGATAATAGCAGCTCATTCTAGTTTTTCAAGCTTATATTTTATGAATGGGTGGTGTACGTTAAGTTCTTTTGGACATTCTTATATTTTTTTCCTTTGATTAAAATTTCGGAAAATTCTCCCGATCATCTAAATGCTAAATGGGTTTTTGACATAAAATCAATTTATTCTTCCGAGTTATTTTTAAAGTTCATAAAAACTAAAAAATATATATTTAGAACTTGACAACTCAAACGGAAAACTTTAATCCAAAATAAAGGCTTGCGAAAGCACAAATTTATTCTTCTTCGTACTGCGCAGAAGGGAATTTATCAATTTTTGAGAAAAACAACGGATGAAAAAAAAATGACACTTTAATATATGGAAGGAATCGATGTAGAAAAAAAAAATTACAAATTGAATAATGAAATTATTGTACTAATCAGAGTATCGCTTCGTAAACTAGACAGCAGAATGAACGGAAGAAATAATAATAATTTCTCCTAAATATATTTCAGAAAGTATCAACACCGTGGATTCTTCATGTAGCAGAAAATTCTCGGGAAAATGAGGTGGAACCCGTCATTTTAGAACATGACTTTCAACTAAAGAAAAATGAAATATCTGACTGGTAAACTCTATTTTTTCTTCTGCTTTAAGACATTTCAAAGAAATATGATTTTATACTTGATTAGAACAATTATTTCTTTTAATCCTTCACTATGATGGGGAACCAAACGGAAGAATTTAATAAATAAATTATAGATTTGCATTCTGCGTTAATGGAAACTTTTAGCCATGTTTAAAGTAATGAGTTAATAAATAAGTTTTCTGAAATTTGACTTATTTGTAAATTACATTATAATTAATTCGAAAGATGTGATGCAAAACGCAAAAATTAAAAATGACATTAAGACATTTCACCTTTCGCTACATTTTACATTATAACATTTACATTTCGACCACTTTCGACAATAAACTATTTGGAGGCCTTATTTAGTATTTTGAGAGAGAAAAAGAAGTTTATCTGAGGAAATTAACTTTTAAGGCTGATTCCATGACTTTATTTAGAGTTTAAACAAAACAGTTAATTCATTTAAAGTGAGTTTTTCGAATATCGGAACCCAATCTCAGAACTAGAAAATTCGACCCTTTATTTTAAACTAATTGATACTATAAATATTATAATAAAACTAGCTTCCGACATAAATTTTCTCAATTTTTTAGAAAATACAGCTATTTATTTGAAATTTTTAATTGATTTTTGATATTTCTTTAAATATTTGAAAAATCTTTCATTTCTGAGTAAAGGAAGGTCAATTACTTTTTAAACATTTAGAGTTNTTTATTACATGTAATTTGATTACATGTAATTTTTTGATTTCGAAATATTAAGTATTGAAATGTGTAATCCAAGGTAAGGAATAATTTGTTTCAAAGTTTTCAATGGTAACAAAATTTATTCTCATAAAAATGTATTCTGTTATTCTCATTCCAGATTAAATAAATTATTTTATGTGCTCAAAGATACATTATAATATTTACTCTATTATCAATATTAAGTTAAAAATTAAAATAAGAGAAATCTGAGTTGTTGACTTAGATTTTTAGATATATGTCACGGCGAAAGAACGAAATCGGTGGTTGTTGACTTTCACCGGTGAATGTCTACAAACACCAAATACGTCGGTAAAAGATCGAATATTTCATTACATTCTTGTACATTCGGACCCTCACCGGTGTATGTCGACAATCACAGATATGCTTTGGCGAATGTCCGAAATATTTATTACATTCGATTTGATATGAATTTATTCGTGGATATAATTACATTTATTCGATACTTTAACCCTACACTGATGTTTTTTTTAAGGTTAAGTGCCACTGCCCGGTATACATTTGCCCGGTATACCCTACACTGATGTTTTTTTAAGGTCAAGTGCCATTGCCCGGTATATATTTGCCCGATACTCCAAACACTGATGTTTCTTCTAATCTATCGTCAGTAAGTATTAAAATATAGAATAAATATAAATATATCAAATAAATATAATAATATTAACGAATAAATTAATATAAAATTGGATATAACAAATATTTCGGACATTCACCATAGCGACTACGTGAATGTTGACATTCACCAGTGAATGTCGACATTCTCCAGATTTCGGTGTTTCACCGAAACATATATATAAACACAGATATTTTGAAAGCAACACGCCTAATTATTAAAATGTTCTCTTTAAAGAATTTTGTTTCAAAAACACGCACAATATTTTGTTTTCTTTTTTTAAACCAAGACTCACATTCTTTATTCTAAATTATATACTATATTAATTTCAATAGATTTTTTTCATAACTTTGATATCAATTTTATTTTGTGCAATTATTTGTGAAATATGGAACAAAAACTAACTTAATCCCGCCCCCTTTTTTTAAAGCAAAACTTGTTGAATGTAAGACAAATGATTTAATAATTGAGCATTTATTAAAAGTATTGTTAGAGATGCCTCTATATCTACAATCTTCATTAAATAATGCTCACATATTTTGATATTTGTGTTAATAAAAAAATTTAAAAGTTAAACAATTTAAATTTCTTTTTATTCTCAATAAAAATAAATCGATTCTCTGATAATAAAAAATTATGTAGCTATACATTTATGGGGCTATATTAAAGGGAAAGCTATGCTCAAGTAGAAAAAAATACAATTGAGTTTCTATAATTCGTGGTGGACGGGACCGAACCTACTTTGAAATTTCAAAAACTCGAATTATTGAAAACTTAAAATTTAAGAAATATTTAAATAAATAGAAACAAGGCAATTTTTTAATTTCAGTATTTAATTGAAAAATGTGTTATATTTAAATTTTTTTTAACTTACATTATAGATGATCAGGCTACATTTACTACATTACACCAAGTTACATTATTCATCCTATTACTGCATCAGATTAATAGTACTTTAAAATAATTGTCTACTGTTTTTTATTTAAACACACTGTTCACACGTTTCAGTGTTTAGGACACAAATTTGTTTTCAATATTTACTCGTAGTAATGGTCGTAAAACCAATCGTTAGTAATCGCTCCACACGTTGTGTGCGCGTTGGTCACTGTTTGGGAGCAAGACTGATTTTTCTTCACTTACTCGAATTTATGGGAAACTCGAACTATCGAGATTAAAGTGTAGTTACCACTTCAGGGATATCATTTATGCGAACTCAGTCGTAATATCCATGCCATTTTATGTCATGGTATTAAAATTTGGAAGATATGGTTTTACTTTTCACTCATATAAATAAATGATACAGAAAGAGCTTTATTCTGAGAATAGTTTCATAGAACATTTGCCTAGCTTTCAATACCATACACTCATTTAAGTCTACTTCTCTAATTCTTACCTCCAATCACCTTCATATAGGATGATACTTTTGATTTCGACACATAAGAGAGTAGTAAACAGGATGGAAATTAATGCAAAATGTTTTTTTATGCAGCGAGATCTACCAGGTGTCTGTGTCGACAAACAAGAGGAGAGATATCGTATCCCTCTCAGTCTTTCTCTCGGTTCGACCCAAGTTGGCGATGGGAAGAATTCTTATGGCACTCTGTGTTCTCATCGGACTCTACTTACTCATCATATTTGAGGTAAAAATGTTTCATTCGTCTAACAGACTTTCGGCAGCAAGTATCATTTTCAAAGGTTGCAATCATTACACTTCATCACATCCTAAAATAGAAATTTAAGTGTTACTGTGAATGACAGAAATGGGTGGTTGTTGACTTCCACCGGTGAATGTTGACAATCACATAGTCGCTTAGGTAATTGTCCGAAATATGTACTAGGCAGAGTTGGCCAAAAATGTAATCGATTACATTTTTTGATTACAGTAATCAATTACTTGTAATCATGATTACAATTTTCGAAAATTTTGATTACAGCTGTAATCATGATTACAATATTACAGTAATCAATTACTTGTAATCGTGATTACAAACTTTGATTAGAGCTGTAATCATGATTACATAGTCGATTACAGTAATCAATTACTTGTAATCATGATTAGTTGTAGCTGTGTTGTGGGCTAAAGGGTGTAATCATGATTACAATTTTGATTACAGTAATCAATTACTTGTAATCATGATTACAAGTAATTGCGATTACAAGTAATCACAACAAAAACGATTACAAGTAATTATGATTACAAGTAATCAAAATATATGATTACATGTAATTTGATTACATGTAATTTGATTACATGTAATTATGATTACATGTAATCTAAATACACGATTACAAGACTTATTCCTATAAATGATTATATTTTACAGTAGATAGTATAATGTATTTTATAATGATACATTTTGCACGTATTTACATGTACTGCATTTTGTACGTATTTCTATACGTACAAATGAATGTAACTAAAATAAATGTACATATGATTTTACCTAGTGCATATGTTCAGACATCTTAGTTTCACACACACGTACATACACTTATATTGTAAGTATAAAATATATGTACGTATGTATATAGATATTTACGTATGTATGTGCAAACAATGTAGACATGTGCATTTATACACAATGAATATATGCATTTTATGCAAATATTTGTGTATGTAAAATGTATATCTATGTTCATGTACGCATGCATATACAAGTACTTGTTGTTTGTACGAACATACATACATTGTCTGTACAATGTATGTCCCATGCATGCATGTGCAATTTATTTATGAACAGTATAATATATGTATGCATGTACAATAAAGGTATATATGTAGTATGTACAATATATGTATGTATACATGTACATGATATGCATTTCCATTGTATTTATGCACAGATACACAATATGTTCATGTTCAATGTATGTATCCAAATATGCATAATACATTTGTGTACGATTGTACGTACATTAGGCGTATTTATATTTTAGATATATTCATACATATATTCGACATGCATAACGTATGTACATACACACACAACTGTACAATATTAACGTATGTACATACGCAAATATTGTACAGTTGTATATATTGTACAGATGTATATACATATAGCGTACAGATGTATATTCATACAATGTACATATGATGAAATGAACATATAATGTTCATACACTGTGCATATGTGTGTACATATACAGTACATATGTGCATAAATATATTGGGCGTAACTCTTTCATACATGTGTACATTAATACATGTGTACATGCATGCTATCCCTATCTATGCATATGGTGCAATGTATATATGTCCAATGAATGTATCCACACATGTACAATGCACGTATGTTCCATGTATGCATATCCATATGTACTATATATGCACGTACAATACATGAATGTATGTACATACATTGTACATGCGTACATACATTACACGTATACATATGTACATTACATTTATGTCTAAATATGTGTACAATGCAATAAATAAAATGCATGTAAGTTAACTTTTAATGACTCAAGCAAGTTAAATGACAAAATCAAACGATATTTAAATTTAGTTTTCAGCTTTAATTGTTCTATATCATTTTGAAATTCTCTGAATAAAAAATTATTTTCAGGTATTTTCATGAAATGTTTGACAATACAGATTTATTTTTTTTATAACATAATGCATGATTCATAGAAATTTTTTAAATGGTAAGAAAAACGGTAAATTTTATGTGTGGAATTAATATTTAGAAATTCCAAATAAAATTATCGTTTGCTTTCTAAAAAATATGAGGTCGAGTTTCATATACCTTAGAATAATTTTAAAACAAATTTTAATAACTTTACTCATATAAATTTTTTTAATGTATGCACAATGTATGTGTATATTGTAATTACATATATTTAAATGTACGCACGTATTTGTACATTACTTGTAATTATGTACATGTATACGTTGTATGCACATGCATACATTGTGCATATAACTATTTTTTTGTACATCCATGCATTACATGCGCATAAGTATTAACAAAGTATGTAGTTATACAAGTACATACGTAAGTTGTACATAAGTACATACTTTGCGTGCACATATATCGATGTACATATAAATATGCATGTATACATGTACGCATTTTATTTACGCAACTATGTGCATATATTGTACCTTTAAATAACATTTTTACATATTGTACGCAAATACGTACAATTTTATATACATACGTACATTGTATATACGTGCTATTATCGTAAATTTATACAATGTATGTACTTAAGTACATAAAAGCATGCAAACGCATAAACATTATTTTCATATACGTTCATCCGTATATTGTCTATGTATACAAAGATACAAAACATTGCCTTTTTGTACAAACTAACGTACATGCGTACATGTATCATAAATGCATAATTATATGTACTAAGTATATGCGTTCGCAAATTGTACTGTCATGCGTGCATACATTCTATGTACATAAAAATATGTTAACTCATGCATACTTACATAATGAATTTGCATATAGTATACAATCGTAATAACTTGTAATCGTATAGTTTGATTCATGATTACATGTAATCATATATTTTGAATACTTGTAATCATAATTACCCGTAATCGTTTTCGTTGTGATTACTTGTAATCGCAATTACTTGGAATCATGATTACGAGTAATTGATTACTGTAATTAAAATTGTAATCATGATTACAGCTGTAATCAAAATTTTTTGAAAGTTGTAATCACGATTACAAGTAATTGATTACTGTAATCGACTATGTAATCATGATTACAGCTGTAATCAAACTTTGTAATCATGATTACAAGTAATTGATTACTGTAATTGAAAAATGTAATCGATTACATTTTCGCTCTACTCTGATGTAATCAAAAATTTTGATTACTTGTAATCGCGATTACTGTAATCGACGGCCAACTCCGGTACTAGGTCTAGTGAAGTGTCACTGCTCAGTTCACATTTTCCCGGTATGCCCTACATCAATGTTTTTTTAAGGTCAAGTGCCACTGCCCAGTCTGCATTTAACCGGTACTCCGAACACTGATGTTTCTCCTAATCTGCCCTCAGATGATAATAAAAATATCAAATAAATATAATAATATCAAGGAATAAATTAATACCAAATCGGACATAACAAATATTTCGGATATTCACTAAAGCGATTATGCGATTGTTGACTTTCACCGGGGAAAGTCGACATTCTCTTGATCTCACGGCAACATATCGATTTCAAAATAACACGTTTCTTTATTTACTCATTTCTTAATTTGTTTGACATAAATAAACGAAAATGTAAAAATAAGCATAGGTTTTTTTTTAAATTTTAGTTAGTTTGTAAGACGAATGATTTGTAACAGAGTTTTAAGTTTAATCACTCCCACTATTAAAGATTGGTGAAGCCTTTCAATTCAATTCAGCTGAAAATATTTGCAATTTAAGTAATAGAATGAAAGCTCTCAATGAGACTGTGGAATTTCATAACAATAATAATAAGAAATTATACAAATGAAAAAGATGCTAAATGAGATGATGGATAAATAAAATGGTTTACTGGAATTTGTACTTATGATAACTGCTATTACTCACTTATGTAGTAACTGAAACTTTTTAATTCTATTGAAAAAACTTTACGTGCTCTTATCATTTAAGGTCCAACGCCACAAACTTGAGCAGCATTTTTTGCTTTCATCATTGCTAAGATAAATTTTCTAACCTTGGTAAAATCATTGAGATTGGATATTTTAACCTTTCGTTAATTTTTATACTTTTTTATTATTATTTAATTTTCTTGCCAGAAAATTATTGTGTAACAGAATTGTATGTGTGCAACAGAAAGATTAATCTGAGGAAGAATTAAATAAAAAGATTCAATTTCAGTTGTAATAAGGGAATTTTATTTTGGTCACTGATTTTCTTTTCTTCTTCTATAGATTGTTCATCGCACTCTGGCTGCCATGATAGGTGCTACATGTGCTATTTCTTGCCTGGCTATAGTGGGAGAGGTGTGTTCACTATATTTATATATCTATTTAAGAAATCAGCAATTAGATGGTTCACCACAATCTCTTTGCTATAAAGTTAATCATAAGAGGTTTTCTACTCTGTAAATTTTCAATTCCGAGATCTCATTAGAGAATGTAGGTTTATTCCGATTCATGAGATCTCTCGTCTTTTGTGTTAGGTCCTAGGACAAGGAATTGAGCAATGACAGCTGTAAAATTGATATGGATAAGCTGTTTCACTAAAAACATAAAATTATCATAGAAAACAGGAAATACGTAGGGGAGTGTCGGGTACCCCCGCCCACTGTCAATTTCATATGTATAGAATATTTTTTCAAGTCAATGGGCCATCGGACATTAATTGTTATGTTAACAAAAGATTATTTTCAAAGTTTCAAGTATTTATGCAGCTGGTAACATGGTAAACAATAGTTTTGAAAATATGTTGAATACAGTAGTCATGAAATTAAGAAAAATTGGTTGAATGTTTCGATTAAACTTCATTTTAATACGAAAAAAATATTTTTTTTTCTATACATACAGCGTTCAAGTATGTAGTCTTAAGTTTAATTTGCACGAAGAAAGAAGTTTATATGTGAAAAATTGTTCGAGTAATTACAAATTTACAAAAAAATTGGATTTTGGGTCCCGCTCGCATGAATGTCGGGTATCACCGCCCAATTTTATTTCTACGATAAATGTACGGTTGCAAAGATTATTATTTTATTGCTTCAAATTTGAATGTTATATGCATTTTTAACAACAAATATTGTTGTTATTAAATGATAGAATTCACTAAAAGTATATAAATATGCAGTAAATAAAAAAATTTTGTGATAAAAATGATAAATGAGGTTTATCTATAGTCAATACATTGGTCATTTTCATCTACACCTGAAAAAACAGTCAAAAAACATAATTTTTGTGACTGGGCGGGGCTACCAGACACATTTTGAAAAGAGCGAAAAATTCATCGACTCGAAAATTCGAATAGACTTATTAAAATTTTTGAGATATTTCTGAAATTTGCATTTGCACAAGATGACCGAATTCCAGCGCATATGGTTATGAAGTTATTAGAGAGACATAGTCAAACCCGTAGAATTTATTGCGCACATATAAAATACAGATATGGCAAATACCAAAGTGTAGAACAAACGAAAATATATTTTCAAATAATATTGTTGTAGTAAAGTGCCTTCTAACTTTTTCAAAGATTAATTTTTTTTTGTTCCTTTGCTCCCCCCTTTCCCCCCCAGTAAACTCACGTTTCATTAAGTGAAGTGGAGTGCACGTCCCAGTTCTCTCTAATAACTTTTTCTATTTATCACGAAGTTTTATGTCGATTTCTTCCCTTATCTTGAGTATGTAATTTCCTTTTAATCTTTTGGCAGCTGATAAAACCCTGTACTGACGCTTTGTAGTGATGAAACCTCCATATATGTTTTTGAAGAACGAAATATAATGAAAGTTAGGAAGGATTAAAACTATGCGGAGAAGATTAAAAAAAAGGCAAATTTCAAACTCATAAATCAATGTATCAATCATCAGTTTAAAATTGTAAATGAATTTCGATGCTACATTGGAGCATCCTATTCAGTACAGAATACTGACAAATGGCGAACATTACAAAAGAGCTCTGAATAGGATGTAGCATCGAAATTCATTTACAATTTTAAACTGGTGATTGATACATTGATTTATGAATTTGAAAGTTATCTCTTATAATTTTTGAAGCACAATTATTTTTGGACACTTTAGACAAAAAATTATATAAACTATATAAATGAAGTATTTAAGCAAAATTAATTTGATAATTAAAAATTTCTCGTCATCTAAATTAAAATGTTGCCTGAAATTATTTAATAGGTGATTTGAAAATTTCAAGTTTAAGTTATAAAATTTTTGACTTTTCCTGATTTTCACGTTAATGGTTTTTGAATACTGAAGTTGACCTTTGCCGAGTAAATAAATTGTTAAGTTCGGAAATACAATAAAATAAATTATCTCATAGCACTATATTATTATTTGTGTTTTTTATGAACCGGTAAAAATTTTTAATAAAGACAAACAATGTTAAAAAAAAATCACTCATAAGCCGACATACTATCATAGATTCCATTCTATAATGAAGAATCTTCCTCGTTGTCGAACACACAGAATGAAGGAGACCTCTAGACACGGAATGAAGAGTTCCTCTATCATACAGTGTTTCAAGCTGACGAGTATTTTTTTTTTATAGAACTAAAACTCTAACTATAGAGTAATCCAATGTGTGGTATTATTTGTACTCTTTTGGTATGGTTTTGTTTTAATAATACATAACACAAATTTAATCCTTACTTAAAGACTGTAAATTCCATGATACACCAGAAGTTGTTTCGTGATTCTTTCGTAAATCAGACTCGAAAGATAGTGCGATAAACGAGGTTTCGAGTCAATATTTCGGGTAGACATAAACGAAAGTTAATCATAAAACTTTAATTAATATATTTTGACACATTTTAGGATATCTTTTTTCCGAACACTCAATTTACTTCCGAATTTTCACCCAATTCAAGTCAATCAAAATTTTAAAGCAAAATATTCTAATAAATTTGTTTGTCATGAACTGTTCGCAGAGACCATCTCTGGCTGAGGTGTTAACATGGGTGGACGTGGAAACGCTCTGCCTCCTCTTTGGAATGATGGTACTGGTGTCCATTCTCTGTGAGACTGGATTCTTCGACTACATCGCCGTTCTGGTATGTATATGCGCAACAATCTTTAGTTATTTTCTGCTCCTCCCTAGCGATGCGGAGATTTGTAGGAAAGTTTTCATGCATGCTCTGGCGATGCTCAAATAGTGTTTTTGGAAAACTCTGACGAATTAATAGCGGACCTACCATAGCGAGGTAGGTGATTGGGGAGGAAAACACAATTTATTTGTTAAGTAAGCTTTTCATCAGAACAAGATTTAAATTTCCTTCTTTTCTCTGATCCACATTCATAGCTCAAAATATCAGAACAGGGCCTGCTTAAGAGAATCTGATTGGAAGAATACTTATTACCCTACATTATTATTGACAAAAAAAATTGTATTTATTTTACTAATCAAATCTATTATTTTTTTTTAATAACACGTCTACATTATTGTGCACTGTATATACGATTTGCATGGAACCCTATTTTGAACTATTCGCCTCAACGTCTCGATGATGCACTAATCAGATTCTAAATTTGTTTGATAAGTCCCAAATTCTTAGTATCTAATGGCGGCGGCCAAAAGAAACAAATCATGACAGGGTGTATTTGCTAGCCCTATAAAAAGTATTGAGGAACGCATGTCCTTTACTAGGTTATCGGCATTCAAAGCGGACTTAAATTATGTAGACAATATAGTATGTTATAAAATCAGTCACAAAAGTACGTTTTCTCTGAATAATGATTGTTTTTCATCTCGGTAGCGCACTCGACAAAAGTGTCGTTCACTCCGCTGGTGGAGAGCCTAGGATTGTGAGTTTGATCCTGGCAGCCGAATAATCAACCGGCGTTGTATACGCAGCACGATAATTCTGACGTGGTTGAAAGTCCTTTTGATGGTTGTGGTGTGGAAGTGATGCTGCCCTAGGTCGGTTGACTGGGCTCAAAATTACGTGACATTCCTGTCATAGCTATAAAAAGACAGTCCTGAAAAACGGGTGCTTACGGGTTAATTTAAAGCCTGAAATTTTTGAATGAATCGAAATACATAGCAGTTACGTTTTCACAGCAACAAAAGTAAGCATTGACACAATTACGAAACGCCCTTATAATCTAAAAAATTTCTTTCTTTTTTTTAACCTTTTATATTTGCAGGAATACAATGAAGGAATTCATAATAATTTTTATAGAACATCACAAAATTGATATTTAAGTCCCTGATAATAATATCTATAGAACAGTAAACCAGTTCAGCTCATGTGATGCATTGTGAAAAGTCAAGAGATTGCTAAGTTGTTATGTGAATAATTTCTATTTCAGACATACAAAATGGCACGAGGCAGAATTTGGCCTTTAATAACTGGACTTTGTTTAGTCACTGCTGTACTATCTGCATTTCTCGATAATGTTACGACAGTTCTTCTTATGTCTGCTGTTGCCATCAGGTGATTTTAAATATGTTTATTTTATTATAATATTTTTAAGAATAATAAAGAAAAGATAAGATTACGCTCAAATTTCTAAGGTTTAATTTATTATAATCGAATAAGATAATAACATAATAATTTCTGGGAAAATAGTTTCCCTTTTGTATATGAAATGGCCCCTGGGATGGGAAGAAAATATACAATCTTGCGTTCTTTAGAGATTTTAGGTTGTAAAATGTCCTGGGCATGACTTTCTTTTTTAGAAGTTTGAATAATGTTTTGATTTGTATTGTTAAAAACTACGTGTTTGGTCAATAGGAAATACTGCTGAAATAGCAACGTTTGTTATAACGTTGCTACAGCTTTGTTAATTTACGTGGCACACGAATTGACGAAGTATTGGACGAAGGGTTGGTATGACAGATGCTTAATTTCGGCTCTATGTGTACTGAATTTGCCTATATTTCGAAATATTGAAACGTTTTACGAAATTCAATTCCTGTTAAAGCTTTTTTTACAGAAATTTGAATTTTTTTTCTTTTCAAAAACAATTATATTAAACAATAAAATATAATTAAAAACATCATAGTACTCACAGCATTAAATTAACCCCCTTTTTAATCCAGTCCTGATTGGAATTCAATCAAAAAGCAATCTGGTTTAAACATTTGTAGAAATGATGCACTTTAAATATCATTTTAATGAATTTGCTAAGAAACGTCTAACCCATGATCTAAGCAAAATGCTTAGTGTTTAAACGTCGCTTATGTGAACCACGAGAAAAAAAAATATTTTGTGAAGAATAAATTCACATTCAAACAAAAAAAAGGAGCTCTTCAAACATAATTTAAAGTGGCTATCGATCATCATTGCCTATAAAATCATTCTATATTCATTACAGATGATGGAATTGCCTAAATGCGAAGAGACTGGAAAGGTCAGAGGGGTGGTGTGCTATGAAAGGAAGAGGAAATGTTTAAAATAAAACTGAAAGCAAGAACAATATACTGAATTGAAAGCAAGCACAAGAAATCTTGTTACTGCAATAGTTTGAAAAACCTTTCATGTAATGGTTGAACTCACTACAATACGTTTTGTACATGTGTTTCATTTTTTTTCCTAACCGGTGCCCTACAACCCGACCCAATTTTGACTTTACGAGTATCAAGGCTTAACTCTGAAGCCTTATAATTTTGAACCCAATCCAGAAGACATCTGGATCAAGCATTGTGAGGAACTAGCCCTCGCGGAAGACCTTTCGATGGAAATACCTGCTTTTGCGTTTTATGTTGAGGAAAACCTCGAAAGTCGCGCCCTTTACTCAACGTTGACTTTATTTTACGTTGGTCAAATTTTAAGCTGTTTTTTTCCTTGCTGATTTCGTTTTAGCAAGATTCATAAAACGCATATAACAAGCGTTTTACAGACATCTGGTTAGGACTGTCTTGATGTTGATCTAAACAGGGTATTCAATCTCTACCTGTGGAAATAGTTGAAGGTGTTCGAACAAACACCTTTTTTTCCTATTTCTCTGGTTGGCATCTATGACTACCTGTAAGAAGAACTACTTTTATAATGAGGCACAATTTACCCTTCTCATTTGCTTAGGTAGCACTGTGAAGGTACACTCTTGTTCCAACGTATGCTTCAATAAATATTTAATTGAAGGTATCTCTCTTGATTCTGAATCATGAAATATTTTGGCATAATATTTTCAATCATTTGAAAGAGGATGACACCAGAATCTAATTTTTTTTTGTTCAAGTTAGTTTATATTAATTTTCAAATCTTTTGAATGAAATGTCAAGTTGAGAAAAATAACCATTTTTAACTTTTCTATGTTTGCAAAAGCCGCTCGTAATATTTGTGCTCTGTATGAAGAGAATGCCAAAGTTGAAAGAACCAATCTTGATGGGTGCGCCAGGTTTAAAAATGAAAACTTTGATTTCAAAGACGCACCGACCCTCTAGTTAAGTTTGGTGAAGAGCAATTAAACCAACTTTTGCACGAAAATTCGTGTCATACTAAAAAGGGAACTGGTAGAAAAAGTTAAATGCATTTTAAATTTCTGAAACATTAGAAAATAGCGGGAGATAAGTTAACCTATTGTTATAAATGAGATATTATTAACTTCTTTGCACTCAATGTATTCTTAAATATTTTTTTTACGCACCAGGTTGTGTGAAACGATGAACGTTGATCCTAAACACATGCTCATTTCGTTGGTCATTTTTTCAAATATTGGTGGGGCGGCCACACCCATTGGAGATCCACCCAACATCATCATCATCAACTTTAAAGGAATTGCCAGCAACGTAAGTAGAATTGAAAACATTCTGTGGAATCCACATAAAAAAATACTCGACAAAGTCTTTAGAGCAGTGTTTCCCAACTTTTTTTTCCCGAGCTTACAAAACTTCTCAGAATTTATTTTTCACCTCCTTCTTAACATACGCAATTTTTGAATATTTAAAAATTCATATAGTCACTAAAGATATTTGAAAGATTGATCACAATGAAGTTATTGAACAAACAATCCAAAACATATAATGAACATCTGAATTTTAAGTGCAAAATAACTTTAATCAAAGATTTCTCCTTATTATATTATAAATTATGGAAACTTACTTATTAATTAAACTGAGTATGATTATTACGCTTGCTGCAAAGATATTTAATGCTTCAATTCTTCCCGTTTTGTTATATCCAGGTTTTTCCTTTTCTTTTAGTTTTCTGCTCTGTAAACTCTTTCAGGTACTTAATCATAAAAATAATCAGATGGAATATTGTATGACTTTTCTCACATTTAGCGATGAGTCATGAAATGAGATAACTCTGCTTCTCCCCCTCCCATAGTCGGCGCCTATGCAATAAAATTACGGCTACTAACGTGACGCACAAAAGCTACTTACTTATTCTTGAGATTTATCTATCTCTAGCAGAGGTTAAGAGTTGCTACAATGTTGAATTTAATTCTGGGTATGTCCATTTTTGAAAAATCACCCTGAAGAATTAAATTGTACCCCCCGTGGGGTCATACTTTGAGTAACATTGTTTTCGAGGGAATCTACGATACAAATGTTGTACGCCGAATTCGATATCAGACTTTGGCAAGATCTGAAAATAAATAAACAAATAGAAATAATAAATAAATGATGTGTCGGAACATATCTCCAGAAAATATTTTATTTTTGCCTTTAATGGAAACAGTTGGAACGGAACATCGGTATTCTGGACACAGCTCGAAATGGGAGTTTAAGAAAACAGCAAAAAATATTCCTATTCTAAGTTATACCTAAATTTAACACTAAACGTATTTATTTTTCCTAACATTTTAAAAAACTAAGCATAATCAATACGGGCAAAGTTCGGGTTCGGGTCAATAAATTTTCTGGTGATTTCGTCGTATTTAAAGCACTTAACGATGAAAAATCTAAGATCCTAAAACCATAATTGTAATTGATACCAAAATTATAAAATCATGAGACCTGTCAAAGACATTGTAAAAACAACAGTTGACTTTTAAAGTATTTTAAAAAACTAATTTAAAAAAAAAAAACTATGTAATTAAGGTAAATGGATGATATCATATAACGAATTTATTTAGATTCATTAGGTTATTTTAAAAAAGGGAATAATTTTTAAAGAGAAAATAGAATCAAATGCTTTTTCTTCATTTCGAGCGAGTTGTATAAAAAGCTCACCGACGACGCAAGAGAAAGATTCGAAGTGAGAAGAGAATGAATAAAAGGGTCTGATACGAATGAAAAACGATGTTTTTTTATTCAATTTTATATCATCATAAGTTTAAACAAAGAGTTTCAAAGGAAACAGATGGACGTTTTCTGCGATATAAAATTTTAAAAATTCGTATTTTCAATTGTTTTTTTATTTTTGAGAACCCATTTCATTCAAATTTAAAACTTTTGCGAAATATTCATAAACATGAATCCAATGTTTGATAATACAATTGAATTTGGATTTCTCTTAAGATGGAGATAATTTAAGTGCGTGATCCGGCCGATCAGTTAAATGCATTTAACTTCGAAAAGAACAGTTGTCCAATTTCGTTACTGTGAGCATTTCCGCGGGACTATAAGGTTCAACAATGTCGTAACCGAAAGGCATGATGTAGTCATCAGCACTGCTCGCGGACTGCCATACAAGCTAACTATTCATCGATTAGAAGTCTGGATCGAACAATGCCTTTTACCACTCGGCCATCACAGCCCACAAATCACAATTAAAATGGAAGAACACATATAGAACACGTATTGCGAAAAGTTCATCAAATGTAATAAGTTAATCACGTTAATACAAATCACAATCATGAAAAGGGCGTGGCTTATTAACCATTTGTTGCAATTAAACGTCGAAAAGTGATGCATTAATTTGTGCAACGGAAACTAAAACGTTTAAGAATGTTTTTTTGAAGATTTTGCTAATATGTTTCACGTTGTTATCAATATGTTTTTAAAAATTATGATTTTTTATTTTTCTGCAAATGGCTTGTAAATGTAGAAGTTCATAAATACAATGTCAGATTCGTTTGTAACAAGACCTAGATAGTTAATATAATAAGTGTGATATGAATTGTTTAGATTTTTATGTTTATAAATGTTCTATTGTTAAATATGCACATTAGTTTTATCCTTTATTGTTCCCATATGAAATCAACATTTTTTTTCAAATTGTTTGGATATTAGTAAAGATCTTTCACAATCCAAATTTGATTCTTTTTTTTCTCATCACCTAAATAATTCCAAAACTTATCGTAAACTTGGTTTAGTAAAACGCAAAAACTTCCGCGTTGAGCAAAACTTTATCTAATGCCCTATTATAATAATAAATAGTGAAATAAAATAATTTTCGACGCTATTATTATAAAACAACTATTATAAACAACTCATTCTATTATAAAACAACTAAGCAACTGATGTTCCTGTTACTACATTGCAACATTGTTCCATCATTAGACTGTCGTAGGGATTTGTTTTGTTTATTATTTATTCATGAAATTCTAGATATTAATATTGATTTCTCTGATATTTTAAGTATGACTCAATTATGTGTAAATAGTCATATTATGTGTAAATAGTCATATTATGTGTAATGAAAAATTATTTGTAAGCTCATTTTCTAAAGCTAATTAGGAAAAAAAAAACATTTTTAACGGACTTGCAAATGAATTTCGTATTCTTAAAATGTCTTCCAATGTTTTTAAAAATTTAGCTCTAATTATTTTTCATCGCAATATTTTTCTTTTTCTCTCTCGTTGAACTCCATTGAAATTAGGTCTGTAGTGCGCGTTTTGTTGTTAAAATAAACAAATAAAAAAGAATTAATTAAATAAGGAAAGTTAATCATTAAAAATTTATCTCGACATGCATCGAGCTATATTACATGATTAGGATCACTATACAGTTTATCTTGAATATCGATTGCTATCAGAATTTAGATTGATCCAAATATTTGGCCTTTCAGGCAGCGATCCTATTTTGTTTGGATTATCGAGGGTGATATTTCAAAGTCGGATTTTAAATAAGAGTTTATTTGTTGAAAGTCAATTTTACTTTTAAATTTATGTATAGTTCATCATTAAAGCCGTTGCATGTCAGGCACTCCAGTAAAGGTTTTAGTGCCACTTTCAAAATGGAAAAAAGTTTGTTTTGATAGCATTTTTCAGTCGTAATTGATAGCATTTTTCGATTACAGTAATCATGATTTGAAATCATGATTACAACACATCACCATTTTGATTACAGTTGTAATCGGGGTTATAACAATCGATTGCAGTAAGTAAATTCTTGTAATCGTTATAGAAATTGTCAATTACAGTTATGAATTATTTTTGATCACTTATTTACGTATTTCCAGATATCTCGAGAACTTTTTAAGTGAATTGAAAATTTTTGCACACAATTGCAGAATTCGTTTATCCAAAGATAATTCCTTGAGAAAAAATATTTTTATTATTTTATTTAATACAAGTCGAAAATTTTTTTAATTGTAAGGCATACAATTTTCTACATCATTATAAAGAATCTCCTTTTACGTGGCGAAATACAAAATTTAGGCAAAGTAGATTGAAATTCTTACAAGTAAAAATGTAGAAAATTTCATACTTTACAATTTAAAACTTACACGTAGAGGTATATACATATTTACAAGGAGTAAAAAAAAAAGAAAACCCTACCACCCAGAGTAAATTTTAATCTAATGATCAGATCTTCACGTTTTAGGAATCATTCGTAATGGTTATGTACTGTTACACTTAAAACTTTGATTATGCTGTGATCAATAAATTAACTTTGGTAACCAGGTTCAACAAAAAAAATCAACCATCAAATTACTTGAAACATTTAACATTTGTAGCCAAATTTATTAAAACTCAAATCTTCAAACGAAAACACACTCAAAACATTTCCAAATGTCATCACGTAAATAACACATGTATTTCCAAATTATACACTACTTCAAATATAAAATTTATCAACACAAAATTATATTTTCAATAAAAATGCAATTAAAAACCTATGGCTCAATATTCTATTACTCCAAATCCAGAATAAACAATAAGAATAAAATACACACTTATCTTAAACTCTACTAAAATCAATTAAAAATAACGGACACAATATTCTTTGAATTCTGTAAACACGATTAAAAATAAAAGGCTTATCTTAAAATATAGTAGAAGCAATTAAAAGTCAGGGTAAATTATTCTTTTAAAACTGTACTAAAATCGAACTTAGAGTTTATAAATTCAAATCAAAATACGGACCAAATCCCTGGAACGCCCACCGATATTGCAGCCAGACTCGTGGATCAGGTAAAACTTTTAGTTTCTGATAGAGAGCACTCCAACCCTTCAAACTTCTTTAGGCTTCCTTCTAGTAAGGCAGTTTGCACAAGTGGGACAACAGACTTTCAGCATTGGTACGCTTTGGATAGGTCAACAGACTCGAGCATAGCGGCACTCAGCTCATCACTTTCAGTCATCAACTTGGAGGCTTCGGCTAAACTTTTCTCAATACTCCCGCTAATCCACCCAGGGGCTCCGACCTAGTCCATTCATTCAGCGGCTCTGGCTCTCTCAGCGGTTCCGTCTTAGACCATCTTCCTCAGCGAATCCGGCTTTAATTCATCATTCTCTCAGCAGTACCGTCTTAGTCCATCCTTCCAACGGTCTTAATCCATTCTCCCTCAGTGCTGGAAATGTTCTGTATCTCAGTATTCTGTATCTAACTGATTCATCTAAACCGAAAAGTCCTAAGTTGATTAGACATAAATTTCATGAAGAAATAAATATATGTAAGAGTACACCACAGCCTAAAGCTGTGGAAGTCATATGAGAAGATGTCTTGCAGGCAGTGGAACACTAGTTCTGGGAGGAGGGAGCGAAGCAGCTTAACAAGCTTTTCATCCTTTAGTAGTTCTCGGAAGAGTCTAAGAAATCTGGATGCAGAGTCTGTGGCATTCTTGGGTTTCCTTTCTTTAGGGAGCTTCCTGGGTCTTGCACCGCAGCCCGAAAAACAGGCTGGGTGCTCACCATTACCGTTGACGCAGGTCGCTGGCTCTGTGAGTGGTTTCGTACATTCGTATGAGAAGTGGTCTTTGGCGCATTTCATGCAGGCGGGAACTGTGGCAGTACAACTGCGCTAAGTGCGTCCAAATTTCTGGCATTTGTAGCATTGAACTTGAAATCTGCCGCCTCTGAAACGCTCGATCTGAACTGGTCTCTGTAGGATAGATCTAACGTTGTAGATATTTCGGCTATTGTTTGAATCCCATTGGATGATGAGGAATACTGGGAGGGGCCTAAGCTCCCGCCCACTTCTTCTCTTGAGCTGCACTATCTTTTCCGGGAGAAGTCCGAATTCTTTGAGATATTTCTCTAGTTCGAGAATATATGTATCAATTTTCAAACCTCGGATGAGGGTTTTCAGTTTTTTGTTTGGAGAAGTGTCCATATTTGAATTGGTAGTAGTGATGGGGTCTACCGGATCGGCAATCTCCACACTCTCTGTCTAGGGTGGGCTCGCCTTCTGTAGCTAAGTCGTGGAGAGTCGCCTGGTTGACACTCGTTTTCAACTTTTTCCTCTTTTTCTTATTCCTTTTCTCAGGGAGAACAGGAATTTCTGAAGTATCCATATCAGTCGGTAGATTGGTTGGGACAGACACTGTGACTTTGGTTGTGTCCTCTTCCTCAGTCGTTTGAGCTTTGGATTCTGGAATGGTAACTGGAACTTCGTTTATAAGATCATTTTCCTTCTTCATCTTTTGTTGTAGAACATCTATGTTGTAGTTTACAGCATCTGATCCTTTTAGGAAGTAACCATATTGGGGACATACACGATAGTCTAGTCTATTTAGGAGGCTAAAGTAAAGTCTTCTCACTTTTATCAGTTCTTCCAATGGAAAATGAGAGAAGAAATCTCTCTCTTCATATCTGTCCATGTTCTTACTCGGAAGAAGAAATTGCGGGGGAATCCCACAATTCTCAAGTAAGTCATCTGACGATGTTTGATCTACACTAGTTGGAAGCTGATGACGGCCGGAAGGGAGCACCTTACCGCCGCGGGCTGTTCCATGGTACGGCATAACTGAGCAGAGATAACACGTCTTGACTCGAGCAAGGCTTGAGCGAATCTCTGGTCTCATTCTCCCTCAGTCACTCTTCACAACCTTTTTATTCTCTTCTCAGCAAGGCGAAAGAATCTTAGGCTGACCTGTTTTCCCCCCACGAGCCGAGACGCAACCAGTCGACGTCAGAAAGAAAAAGTTCCATTATAAAAACAGTCTCAATTAAATATTACATTATAAAAGTGATAAGACAATACTAATTAAATATAAATAAACTTAAATACACATAATTCAGTCCATAAATCCCAGTTTAAAATTATATTTAAAATTTCCAATACATAATACTATTGTGATTGAATTTCAAATTTATAATGGTGGCGCCACCTGAAGGCAAATCGTGTTATACACCATAAACACTCACAAGAATTCGAAAATAAGCAGAGCTAACCAGTACAGCCATCTATTGATGAAATAAGCGAACTATTTCAGCTGAAAAAGTAAAACATCTTTAAGAATACTTGACAAAAAAAAAATACAATAAATTTCTAATTATTACAGTTAAAAGGGGTGACCTCAAGCTACTAATTAATTAGTGCACACGATATTTTAAGTTACGAAATCAGACACAAAAACATGCTTTCTCTGAATTAAGATACTTCTTTCCTGACATACATACTTCTGATTTGGATTTCTGACAACCCCCCCCCCCAAATATAAGGGATAGCCGCAATCTGCGAAATAGGGTCCCAATAGTTTGATCAGGCGACTGGTCCAAGGTTTGAACCCCTTAATGTCAATTTTATTTCTTGTGCATTTCACCATATCTCGACAAATTGTTTTGTGAATAAAAACATTTTTGCTCACGATTATAAAATTCATTTACCCAAAGACAATTCTAAGCAAAAAAAAAAAAATTTTTAGTAAATATTTATTATTTTTTAATATTTTATTAAATAATAGACGAAAAAATTTTGAATTTTAAGGTATATATATTTTAAGGTATACACCATTTCACATGGCAAAATAAAAAATTTGAGCTAAATCGGTTGAGTAATGTAATCGTTCCTGAGAAATCAAATTTAAAAAAATCGTATACCTAACCAATTCTATCAAACCAACTATTTAACCAATTTTGCTCAAATTTTGTATTTTGCCTTGCTAAATTACATACTCTAAAATGATGTATAGAAATGTATACCTTATAATTTAAAATTTTTCGACTGTTATTTAATAAAATAATAAAAAATAATAAATATCTACTAAATTTGTTTTCCTTCGTGGAATTCTCTTTGGATAAAAGAATTTTATAATTGTTTTTCAAAATCTTTTCAATTCCCTTAAAAAGTTCTCGAGATATGGGAAAATACACAAAAAATACGACTAACATTAAAAGGTTCAAACTTTGGATCGCTCTCCTGAACAAACAACGGGGACCATATATCGTACATTGCGGCTACTCTCTATATTTTGGGGGTCAGAAATCTGAATGCGTTGGGAAAAAGGTATGCTTTTTCAGAGCTTGGCGAACAAAGAGCACACAGGATCCTTTGGCCTAGAAGAAGAGAAAGTGCGTTTTTGTGTCTGATTTAGTATTTAAAAATATCGTCCGCATTAGTTTATTAGCATATTTTAGGTCACCCCTTCGAACCATTAAGAATGAGTCCAAGAGCGTGAAATCACTAGATCAAAAGTTATTCAGGATGTTCCGTTTTTTTTTGGCTTACTGTACATATATTTTAGTTTCTAAGTACGTACATATGTTGTTTATAAATAAGTACAAAATGTATTATTATACTATCTGTACTGAATAATATAATAATATATACGGTATTCAATCGTCTTTACTTGTAATCGTATATTTGGATTCCTAGTAATCATAATTTCATGTCCTCAAGATAACATGCGATCATGATTACATGTAATCAGGTATTTGGATTACTTGTAATCACGGTTGCATGTAATTTTTTACTCTACTTTATAACTGTAATCACCATTACAGCTGTATTTAAAGTTCGTAATCATGATTACTTGTAGTTGATTACTTTAATCGAAAAATTTATTAGTTTTTTGCCCGTATCTGATCCAATCAGAAATCATGATTTCCTCTGATGGTATTTTTTTGTATCTCGATTACTAGTAATTGATTACATAGCAGTAATTATCTGCAATTAATTACAGTTGTCATTTGTGATCGAATACTGTAAACGGTGCTCTAATCAGGATTCTACCCTTACACGCGAAAATAATTTAATAAAATATTTAGCTCTATATAGTGCTTGTATGTACAACTGATTCAATTAAAAATACTATATTCATTATCAGATTAAACTTTTTCTTTTATATTCCATTGGTGATTTTTTTTCAATCTGGACACAGCTCGAAATGATTGCTTACGAAAGTGGACAGAATTTGTAAGGGTGTTCACGAAAATAATGAAAAAATTTCGACTTTTCGTTTTCAACCCAAATTTAACAACTAAATCAGGAATTACATGCTTTCTTTTCCTTACTTATTTTTAAACACGAAGCATGATCATTAGGGAGCAAAATCCCTAACTTTGGGGCATGGAATATTACAGATTTAACTTTTCAAGCTTTATCTTCATACCTCTAAACGGTAAAGTAAGTTTTAAAAGTCTAAATTCCTGCAGCTACCACTAATCAATTACCACTATTATAAATTTATTTCACTCGTGACAACCTTTTAAAAAAACGGTTGATTTTTAAAGTCTTTTTATAAAAAAAGACTAAAAAAAGTATTTTATGCAAATAGACGATACCGTATTACGAACTTATTTCGATTCATTAGTTTATTCTTAAAATAAGAAACAACACTCATAAATGAAGTTTAAAAAACAATCAAATTCTATGCCCGTTTTGTCCGTAAACAAACATTTCGAGTAGCTGTGTCTAGATTAAAAAAAAAACTTTTTTAAAACTTAGGGTATTAATTTTACGGCATTCACTCTTCACATGGCTCCGGCTGTGATCATCTGCATTGGAGCCACCTACATTCTCATGAGGATAATGTACAGAAATACTGCAGGTCTGAAATTTAGAGAACCCCAAGATGTTGTTGGTACGTTGTCTCTTTTTAAACTGTATTTTACAATGCCTCTTTCATACTCAATTGCTTTTGAAGTAGAAACATTTCCTTTGTGTTGACTTATACTATAAGATGTACGAAAATTCGCTGTTTGGAAGAAATTTAATCTGTAGGAAGACAAAGTTGGATATCGAAAATATGAACGAGAAATTTTATTTTTAAAAATGCCCCAAAATGGCAGCCAAATTGTATAGTCAGCTAAATAAAGACTGCTGGTAATAGAAAAGTTCGATTTGTTGCGTTCTTTTGGATACAAGATATTTTTCTTACGAAATTTTAAAATTCGTTACAAATATCGACAAAAGATAGGTTAAAAGAACTATATAAAAAACCTAAACAACAAGATTTTCTGCCACGTGTCAGATTATTTCTACTAAAACATTTTTACGGTCGTCGAGAAACTTTGTTATCAAACTTCAGCATGATGATGTTTTAAATCTTTTAATATTAAATATTCATATTCATATACATACATATATAGATACATTCAGTATGTATATATATATATATAATAACAAACAACAGTTTATATATATATATATGAAATAAAGAAGAAAAAAAAGGATGAAATTTTATTTAAAAAACCGGAAAAAAAAGATATAATCTTTTCTTCAGCCCACATGATTATATCCGNTTTCCTCCGCAGAGTATCAAAATTGTAATGGCATGTCTTCAGATCATCCTCAGGGATGCTTTCCTGTCTGTCACCAAGGCGGTGTACCTGACATAACTCTTCCCTCTAAAACTGTTGCGACCCAAAAAACTGTGTAAATAAATATTTTTTTCAACTTCAAATCGAGCTTTCATATGCAAGTGTGTAATTACTCTTTCATTTTTGCAAAATTTTACAGCAAGCTTACATGCTTTCACACTTTATGTTAAATATTTTGGCTTCCAAAAACGCCAATGTTAGCGTGTTATGGATATACTACATTTGAATAAGAGTTGTTGTCTACGCACACAACTATATATATATATATATATTTCGATTTATGTCCGTTCGGTTTCCTATTAGGGTTTCGCTATCAGTGTTTCAATAAAAAATTCCTCCTACTTCTACATACAAAAACGAAACTGATTTGATCGTCGACTATAGGCTAGGATTAGTATATAGTAGATATATTCATTCCCATATTACCCATTTTTAGGGTCATATTTCATTATGCGTATTTTTAGGGTATTCAAAATGTATACAAAGTAACTTGAAGGGTATTCGCGATCGCAACGAACTATAGGGGGCGTTAATGTATGATACGAAATCCTGCGATTTTCATAAGAACAGTCATTCAGTTGCTCTGGAAATGTGTTCGTGATCGCAACGAACTATAGGGGGCGTTAATGTATGATACGAAATCCTGCGATTTTCATAAGAACAGTCATTCAGTTGCTCTGGAAATGTCTTCAGTCTAGCATAGTAGCGTTCCTTCTTTATTGTGGCTTATTAAATTTAAAAAAGAAAAATGTTTGATATTCTTTCTTATGCAAGCGAAAACAAAATGGTATGTCTTTTTTTTAGAGTAAGAACATACAAAACACATCGGAATAATATTTGTAAATAATCAGAAAAAAAATATGTATTTTCTTATTAGAGTTAAGACCAAATGCCTGCGAAATAGTTTTACTAAATTTAATGATATGGCATGAAAGGCCCTATTTAAACTTCAGATTCCACAGTTTTAAGAATCATATTACTTCAAACATTAAAATATGCAAAAAGTATACATAAGCTCATAATTTTATATCTTTTAATTTTGCAAAAAAAGTTTTTAACAACAATTTTGATCAAAAAATTTTAAGTTTCAATAATAATCATTATTTATAAACTAAAAAAGGTAAAATAAAGAATGCTTACGAAACCAAGAAAAAACGATTCTAAAAATTTCTCAGATAAAAATAAAAAAAATTCATGTTTCTTCTTTTTATCTTTTTTATTCATAATCGGACGTAGAAAACTATTCCATATAAAATTACCATCAAATAAGAAAAAAAAGTGCTTACAAGTAAAATTTTTTATTATAAAAATCATAACACTTACCTGCTTTATAAATTCGGAGAATTCCAAAATGATCTCATGTGAAAACTTTATTCTCAAATAGTATATACATAGATTATCCCTTCAATACTTTAAGATGACATACCACACAATAAAATTTTATAATTACAAGATCTCGACATGAATTTCAATCTGTAACTTAAAAAGAGAATAGCTGAAATCTAGTTGAAATTTATCATTCAAAATTAAAAAAATACTTTCCAAGAAAACGATAAAAATTTATTAATTATCAACATAAATGATATTATTTCAAGTAATTCGGATGATTCTTTATTGCTGTTTTCCAAATGATATAGATTAAGAAATATATACTATTCTAAAACTATTAAAGTTCTGCCTGTTCTGAAATGATATTTATCAATTGTTATAAAGTAAGAAATGTTGACTTCTTAATAATTTGTAATGAATTGAAGACAAAAAAAAAATTATTTAACCGTAATGCACACATCTGTAACAGTATGAAATACAGTATTCACGAAATCGGAAGTTATTGGTTGCAAGTTTGTTGATAATAGAAAGGTAAAAATTATTGAGAAATTTCTTCAAATGTTGGGCGCGTTCTGTTTTTGAAAGATTTACCAATGTACTGGGACGTTTTTTCATGTTCTTCTGCTTTTTCCTTAGGGAAATTTTGCTTCTTATTTTCGACTAAGAAAATGGCGTCCGATTTTGCCAATGATTATTATAGAACTAAATGCCTGATATTTTCAGGCTCCCGCTAGAGGGCGTACTCAAGCGTTGCGATCGCGAATTGCAAAAATATTAAGCTTAAATAAGAAGGTAGAGAGAGGTGACATAGCTGAAATTTAAGCAAAATAATATGAATGTCTCATAAAGAGGGACATTTCTATTTAGTCAAAGAAAATGATTTAAGCCAAAAGCTGTAATTTTTATAACAATTATTACTTTAAATTTCATAACACTTTAAATTTATTTAAAAAAATATTTTTTCTCAAAATAATACTAGCTATTTTTTCAATTTTAGATTTTAATATTAAAAATGACTGCAATATATAAAAATTGCCAAAAAGTTCGACGCATCAGATTGAAGATCTCAAAACATAAAGGAAAAAAAAATTAACAAAAAATTGACTTCAAACTCTATCTTATCCATTGAGCATTCGCGATCGCAACTCTCGAGTACGTCCTCTAGTGGGAGCCTGTAAATATCAGACATTAATTTATCCCGTTTTCATTCAGTTCCATCAGAATCACTGGCAGAGTCGGTCGCCATTTTCTTTGCACGAAATAAGAAGCAAAATACCCCTAAGGAAGAAGCCGAAAAACTTGAAAAAACTCTCCAGAACATTGTTAAATCTCTTAGAAACAGAACACGCCAAACGTTTGAAGAAAATTCCTCAATAATTTTCAACTTCTATTATCAACAAACTTGCAACTGATAACTTCCGATTTCGCTATCGCATACTGTTACAGATGTGTGTATTAAGGTAAAATGCATTTCTTCTGTCTTCAATTCATTACAAATTAAACTGAAGTCAACATTGCTTTCGTCATTCCAATAAATAAATGTGAATTCAGAACGTCAAGAACAGCAATTGTTATAGAATATTCTTCTTTGTTATAGAACGGTATATATTTTTGGATCTATATAATTCGGAAAACAACAATAAAGAATCATCCAAATTACTTGAAATAGTGTCATTTGTGCTGATGATTAATAAATTTTTTATCGTTTTCTTGGTAAGTATTTTTTAGTTTTGAAAGAATAGATAATTTCAACTAGAATTCAGCTGTTCTGTTTTTAAGCTACATATTCAAATTCATATCGAGATCTTACAATTATAAAATTTTGATGTGTGGTATGTTATCTAAAAGTAATAAAGGGATAATCTATGTACATATTATTTGAAAATAAAACTTTCAAACGAAGAACATTTCATTTGGAATTCTGCGGATTTATAAAGAAGGTAAGTGTCATGATTTTAATAATAAAAAATTAGCTTGTAAATTTTTTTTTTTTTATTTGATAATAGTTCTCTACAGAATGCTTTTTTACGTCTGATTAAGAACTATAAGAATGAAAAGAGAAACAATATGGAAGTCTTTTATTTCAATATGAGGAATTTTTAAAATCGTTTTTTTTTTCTAAGAATTCTTTATTTTACTTTTTTTAGTTTATAACTTTTTGATAAAAATTGTTGTTAAAATAATTGTTTTGAAAAATTAAATGGTATAAAATTATGTGCTAATGTATACTTCTTGCATATTCTAATGTTTGAAGTAATATGATTCAAAAAAGTATGGAATAAAAATTCGGTACTTACGTAATAACGCCACCGCAACTACAGATTTGGCGGTTTTTAAGTGCCACCAATCTACACCAAAGTTTTTGCAACAAATCATAAAATAAAACACTTTATTTAAAATCAAAGTAGTTTATCGGATTTCGGTGGACAATGGCCAAAATATTTCGCTCCTCAAAAAATAAAATTGCATCTTGTTCAATTTTTGGCAAATCCCAAAGACGCATTTTCATAGCACTAAAAAATGGTAACAAAAATCGAAGAACAAATCATTTTGGAATTCTTCTGATTTATAAAGCAGGTAAGTGTTAATTTTTATAAAATAAAAAATTTTACTTTTAAGTAATTTCTTTCTTATTTGATTTAAATGATAGTTTTCTATAGAATGGTTTTCTGCGCCCGATTATGAGTCAAAAAAGAAAAAACATGAAAGTTGTTTATTTTTATGTAAGGAATTTTTAGAATTGGGTTTTTCATTTTTGCTTTGTATCGTAAGCATTCTTTATTTTACTTTTTTTAGTTTCTAAATAATGATTTTTATTGAAACTTGAAGTTTTTTAATAAAAATTGTTGTCAAAAAAACCTTTTTTACTAAATTAAATTTCATAAAATTATGAGGCTTATGTATACTTTTTGTTCATTTTAATTTTTGAACTAATATGATTCTTAAAACTATGGAATGTAAAGTTTAAATAGGCCTTTCATGTTATATCGATAATTTTAGTAAAACTATTTTTCGGGCATTAGGTTTTAACTCTTATAAGAATATACATATTTTTTTCTGTTTATGTGCAAATATTTTTCCGATGTGTTTTGGATGTCCCTTCTCTAAAAAAGGAGATACCATTTTGTTTTCGTTTGCATAAGAAAGGATATTAAACTTATTTCTTTTTTAAATTTAATTAGCCACGATAAAAAAAAGGAACGTTGCAATGCTACACGCTACATTAAATACGTCTCTAGAGTAAATGAATGACTGTTCATATAGAAATCGCAGGTATTAGTCTCATACAACAACGACCTTTATAGTTCGTTGCGATCGCGAATAGAGCAGAGGGAACCTTCAAAATTTTAAGCAGAAAACCCTGTTTTTATATAGCAGAGAGTTCACCAAGGAAAAAAAAATTACTTTTCACTTTGCTCTACAAGTTTTTTTTTTTGCATTTCTGTTAACTTAGTACTATAATCGACAAATAAAAACAAGCTGCTCAAAATCGAGATATAAGAAAACCTTGAGTCACATTGAAAAAATATAAGACTTTTGTTATTTGAGGGTAAAAAACTTATTTTTTTATAACCACCCTACAATCAAGACTCATCATTTTCATATCGCAATAATTGCACCATCTGTTAACACAAATACAAAAACTTTTGAAAAACATCTGGAGTGTTTTTTATTCTTCTGAGAATTGAAATCTACAATAAAAAAAATGGGAGTTCCTGTTTAAGATTCTGAAGTTACCCAATGGTCTCCCCCGGGTGTTTAATTTTTGAGAGGGATGAAATTATATTACACAGTTACGATAAATCTCTGAATTTAATATTTTTTTAAAAAATGAGAAATTTTTTTACTCGTTTAATATCGGCAAAATGATTATTTTTTGAAAAGTTTTTGGCTTGTTTTCAACTTAGTTTAACTTAAATCAACGATGATTCATTTTTTTTAAAAACTTGTTTGAAATATTGTTGGAAACTTTTTGAGATTTCTAACAATTAAGCGGAGGGGCACGTACCCACGCTTCAACGATGCACATGAGTTGCTCTCTCCCAATGGTTGAAGTGAAATATCATTCAGTGTATTTTGTGAAAAACGATTCTGTCACGTAGTTTAAGATCCGATGCCCATTTCTTGAAGTACTTTATCTCCTCCGTACGTTTAAGACACCCTGTGCATTGGTAGGGTAGAAAAAAGTATATAAAAATTTTCTCTTTGTGCTTATCATTAGTTAGTGAAAAGGTCTTAGGAATGAAAGATTTTGAAGCACCTTTCCTATTTGTGTGCAATTACATCATAAGTTTTCATTGATATTATTCTCTGGAAGTTAAAATTTATTTGCATAATACGTAAAAGGGAATTTAATAGTTCTTTTCCAACAGATATGAAGCATGAGTTGACTCTGTGGAAGAAAGCGGCCAAATTGCATTCTGGTTACTCAAAAGACGAAGACGCTATCAGAGCCCTTCTGAAGCGAAAAATGTGTGTCATCGAATCAAAGCTCGAGATGAAAACATTAAAATTTAATGATCCGAAGTATGAAGAGTTCATTACTTTTGCCATCATTTGTTTATTTTTGAGTATTATTAAAATATCTAACATCCACTGTCTTAACAAAATATAAGATGTAATAGCTATGTTATTTTTTTGTTGTATTAAAACACATAAAATTAAATTTTTTTCAAAATTTTCGTGTGGATCGGCTGCTTTTCAAAATTAATAAGCAATATAAAGCTTTTTTCTAAAAATATTATAATATTTTTCTATTATTTCAATTGTTATCCATAGAACTAAATGTCAAACAGTTTTGCAATGCTAATGTTAAGTTGATTGCGATGTTTTAGTATTTTTTTCTGTATTTTTTAACTTTAATGATTGACTATCAAATAGATTTTAATTTAAAAAAAGTAATTCTCTAAATAAGTAATGGAACTTCCTTTTTCCTTAAGAGTCGAAGCAAGTTTTAAATCTAACCAACCATCAAAACAGTAACTGATTCATATCAAACATTTTATAACTACAATTTTTTTTTTTTTTTTTAGAAATAAAATAGAATCGAAAGTAATTTGATTTAAATTAGTGTGGCATCATAAAATTATGTCACAAAAAAATTTCTTCAAAAGATAAAATAATAAGATTTAACTTTTAAAGTAGCCATTTTCGATCAAAATTTAATTTCTAGTGTCACCCCTTTTCTGCAAATATACATTTCTCCATCTTTTTGGCGGATATTTGAATATATAATCTGAAACAGAACCACGTGGTGTAAGGGGACCAATCGTTACGTGACTGAATTACAGTTTGACTTGGAGTTGTCTTACTTCCGATTTACACGAGGCCTGGCAACAGATGAGTGGCGTCACAACAGGTATAGCTTGTCTATAGTAAGAACTCCCCACAAAGTTTAAGGCCGCCATCAAAACAAGAATCGCGCATTTCAGAGAGGGGAGCTTCGGGGATATGAAGTTTACCAGATTGGCTGACTCAGCTGTCAGCAGTTGACTTATTTAATCTGATTTGAGAACATTTTTAAGATTTGCATGGATTTAAAATGATGCATTTTATGCAATCGGTTGCGCAAGCACACAAAAAGAGAAAACATTGAACACATTCTGATATTAAGGGTATTGTAGAGTTTTTTTTATATGTTATTTTATATGTATTTTAATTTCACGCTAGTTTCTCTCTATTTACTATGAATATTCATTGATTTTCAGATGCTTTAATTTTAGAATTTACCATTTTTAAAAAGCAGTTTTTTTTTATTACTTGAATTTTCTGGTAAAAGTGAGAAGTTAAAACTTATTAAATTTAATTTTAAAAGATGATAAAAATTTTGTTCAAGATAGAAATAGTTAATGTTATTTATGCAGGAGAAAATTTCAATGATTTAACCGATCCATTAGAATTTTTTATAACTCTTTGTTTATGTAGTTGATGTGTATTCTCATGTGCAGATAATTTAATCGATAATATTTTGTATTAATAACTTATTTAGCTAATATATACGATAACAACTACATTTTCTCTACTTTTTTCTTTCCTTTAAAGAATTCATTTTTTTTGGGGGGGGGGGTCGAGTTTTTATTTTATTTATAGTTTTTTTAATCATAAATATGTAAATAAATAAGTATATAAATAATAAATAAATAATAAATAAAATAAATAGGTAATAAATTGCATCGTGTTTTATTTTCCCATTTATTTTTTTTCTATAGCGAAAAACAAGTTACCACAACAAGGATGAAATCTAAAACTATCAAAAAAAATTTTTTTATCCACACCCATCAAACCAGCTGAAGCTATCAAAGCTTTTTTTAGTTACATTTTCATTACTATTTCTATTTGCAAATTTATTTTTACTGTTTCTGTGTTCCTTAAAAATCGTTTTACAATGTATAGGAACTTTACAGATGAGTTATGCATTAATAAAATGCGTACATCGAACTATTCGAGCTGCTTTTAAACAATATTAAGAAATTTCATCTCCCATTTATCGACCGTTATTAATAAGAACAATAATTTCAGCATGTTAAATAATAACGATGGAATAATATTTTTAATATTTAGACGTACAATCGCAATGAAAATCAGAAATGATATTGAAAAAACTCCCATATGTTTTTGAAATAAATTTCTCGAAATGGAGACTCTCGAAAAAGTGAAAGGATAAAAAAAAAAAAAAAGGAATCGAAGCTCTAAACAATGTTTCTGATCATTTTTCTTCACTCTAACACAATGAACAGCAGAAAAAGATTCTCTCGCTGACCCGAGCCAAGACTTGTCTTAAACACTCCTACTTGAAGCTGTTATACCCCCACGGATTCCAACACGGATACACCGCCAAGGATTCCGACGAATACCTAGGGGAGTTCTTTACATAGACAAACTAATGCGAAATCCTAATTTTTCACCTACGATTCTCCTAACCTGCTTTCAGGCAAAAAGCATTGTCAAGCGAAGATAACTTTGGGTGGAATACACGTGCATGGTGACTGGTTCTTTGCGTCACGTGGTTAATTTTAGCCTATCCTTGCAAAATAGGGTTCTTAATCTACGGAATAGTGTAAATTTGACGAGAGAATAGTTAAATTGATCTTCGTAGGAGTCGCAAGATTGTTTCCATTTACGCGTAGAATGAGATGTTAGCCCAACAGTGCTTGCCTGAAAGCAGGCTAAGAGAATCGGAGGTGAAAAATTAGGTGCTTTTTGTGATGTCACATGGTTACTGTCAGGGCTCTTGTAAACGGATGTAACAGACACTTTCCAGCAATTATAAGAGCATCATATTACACTGTAAAGACTTCATAAGATGACAAAGAATCCTCAGTCTGACTCCATCCGTCGTTTTTAAATAAGGCCACATGTTAGACTAGAAAGTTTTTATCGAATGGTATTTCGTCATTGTAGTTTTATGGTTTGGAACCACTTTGTCTTCAAATCGCTCACTATTGGTGTTTCCGTGAGTGTCAGGCAATGCATCGAGATCGATGTTGCCCAAAATAAAAAATCATGTGAGGATGGGACAACATCTGTGTCATTAGATAAGTCTGTTTCTCAAGAGGCCGAACTGAACTGTTGGAGGGATGGAGACGGGGGAAAAGAAATTTTTTTTAATTTTCACAAACACACTGTATGATTCATTCTCTCTGCAGTCTTATTGTTCGAAACAACACGAAGCCGTCATCCAATCACCTATTACGGTATTTACGGTACTTTTTCTCTGATAAAATTATAACGTGACAATTCCGCAATCTAGATTTTTTCGAAATATAGTTTAGTATCATACATAAGGTTGATTTTAGATACATGCCTTTGTTTTATGTTATATGCTAAAAAGTACTTTTTAGCCTTCATTAAAACCAGTTTTCATTAGTTGAAACTGTAATAACAATACTAACAATAGCGTAATTTTAAATCTCTGACTCAAAGCTACAAATCGCAAATGCTTGTCATTTTTGAAATAAAATTCTCTAGATGTACAGAAATTCTAAAACTTATGAAATAGTGAGTTTGAATAATGGCATGTTGAATGGGTATAAACTTGCAGGGAAAGAAATATTACTGATTGAAACTAGATATAATAAATGAAACAATTATGTTGCTTTTTTTTCCATGCTTTCAATAATATATATATATACATATATATATTAAAGATCAGTTGGGTTGCTCTCACCATACAACCTTCATCCTTTATTACAAGCGTGTTGAGAATAATAATTGAGAGATTTTGCAAAGCATTTAACGGCAACGCTATTTGAGCTTGACAGTACATGAGCAAAAACTTCATATCTCAGTGTCTCTAAGGTATAGAAAATAAGGTGAGTGTTACGATGAATGAAAGAGAAACTCAATGTAAAATCTCTCTATTCACTAATTGCAGATACTTTTTCTCAATTACTTGTGGAAGTTTGCAGAAATGAAAAGCAGAATCACTAAGAAATATTTATTGAATTATAAATTGCATTTTTTTCCACAAAATAATGCCGTTTTGAGTAACTCACTTTTTTCTTTCCATTTCGAACAGAATATCGGAGGCAGATTATAGAGCGAGTTTAGTAGAATTAACAAATACGGTAAGTTATGGAGAGGCATCCTTATTTATACTTTCAATTCTGTATAAAAATGAGTTTTTTTTATTCATTTATTATATTTTTCTAGCTGAAGATTAAGGATTCTGTGCTTCTCATAAAATCCCTGATCGTTATTGGGATAGTTATTATCCTTTTCTTCTTGGAAAGTTTTCCACAACTTAATCTAAGTTTAGGTACGATTTAAGTTCTTTTTTTTTAAATGCTGCTTTTTCTGAATTTTCTCTCTATTTTCAGTGTGTAATGATGTCAAGAGAACCTTTTGAAAATGTCCAGCTTTAAATCATACAGCTCTATGATTTTTCCGTAACTGAATTCTTCATAGAATAAGTTCTTCAATTCATTTAGACACAATTAACACTATTTTTTTTTAAAATACGTGTATAATATTAGCATTTTGAGGTCATAATCTATGTATGTATACATATTTCTCATGTGGCACCCTAAACCTCTATCTATTGGTAACATAATATTTTCTTAGATTGCCTTAAGCAATAATTTAAGCAGTGTTAAAAAATAAATTTTAAGTTAAGTGTTTAGTTTAAAAATTTTTTTATGTAGCGACCCCCCTCTATTTATGACCACTTTTGTGAGGCACGGAATTTTTTCCATAGACTTTGTGTTGTGAAAACCTTTAGGCGACGCCATCAAAACCTCTCTTGACAAAGTAGGTAAAACCTCTGCACCAAATTTGGAAAAGATCTAATAAGGAAACAAGAAAAATATCAAAGCAAAAAATATGAACAAAACAAATAAGTACGTTAAATGTATTCAAAATATTTGCGTGAGGTTCTTATTTGGAGAGCTCTTTTTGACGATCTCTGAAAAAGATCTACAACCTCATGTTGCATTCAGAGTCTAAAGACGATGTTTTTAGTGATGTATTTCTGAAATGAAAAATTAAATAAGAAAAAAAAATATTTTAGAAATATTTTATAGATTTTTATATATATTCAGTCAAACCTCGATATCTCGAACTTGAAGGAAGAGGAGAAAAAACTCGAGATACCGAAAATTCGAATTATTGAAAATCGCATGTTATCGATGGTAGAATAAAGGAAAATGCTCTTTAAATACCTTATTTACTATTCCATATTTATTCTAAAAACACTTTTTGCACTTTCTTTTAAAAAAAGATTCAATTGTTGTTTGCTTTAGAGATGTGTAAGGAAATTTGTCTGTAACACTTTCAAAGTGGACTATAGCTTTAAATGTCTCCTGTGACATATTTGGCTGCCTGTCAATAAATCTCCTTACAGTGTCCACTGCAAAAAGTGCTTGTTAGTTAGTAACATTCGCGAGGGGGGGGGGAGTAAGTCTTCGATTTCCTCGTCCTCTTCTTCTGATAGTTCACAAGAAGCTTTCGTTTGAGCNTGCAGTTTGAATTTTTTATTTTCCTCATTTTCGGGGGCTATCTTCGCATAGCTATGAAATTCCATGTCGTCAAGTTTCATGAGTCCGGTCAATCTGTCCCAATCGTTTTCGGTGTAGTTTTCATCAGAATTAACGATATTTATTGTTTGACTACTTTCGTGACCTTTCCAGCCTTCTTGAAGTCATTCATTATCGTAGAGAAAGACACATCATTCCATGCCACTGACGTCTTTATGTACATTTTTTAAAAAAAAGTTTATCATTTTGAGAATTGGTTTTATATTCTTAAATTTTTTTATTCTTTTTGGAATAGTTTTTCATTTTCAGAAGAAAAATCTACACTATTTATGGAGGAAAAAAATTCAAGTTATCGAGGGATTAGAAAAAAAAATTCGTGAAATCAAGTTTTTTTTAACATTGAGTTAAAAAAATAGGAAAGGTTATAGGAAATTTGAAGGGAATTTTTTTTTCTTCGAGATATCGAAAAATTCGTGAAATCGAGGTTCGACTGTATATTGAAAAATTTGAAAAATTTCCCGTTCATGTAAGTTCATTTGAATTCGCTACTCGCTTTATAGATTTCATTTCATGTTTTATTCTGTTTCTTTCTTTATATTTTATTTTCTGTTTTTACGTGATATTTTTACTTATTGTTTTTTATTTTATTTATTGTAATTTTTCTGTAAAATTTTTTGAGTACTCCTCATACTATTGTATTGATATATTTTTGCTTTGGCTGTATTGATGCAATATTAGAAAGCCCATTTTTTTGAGAATATAATCGTGCGAGCTGATGAAAAGATTACATCTTTTATTTTCCGGATTGTTTTAAAAATTTTTGTCCTTTTCTTCGGAATTTTTTTTGTTCGGTTTCTTGTTATTTTTATTATTATTTTTCTTTTTTTCCCCTTGTTTCATTGTTCTGTAATTTTTCCCTTGTTTATATATATATATATATNAATTTTTTTAATTAATTTTAAATTGCTCTAAAAATTCTGTTTAATTTTATTGTATATTTTTTAAGCAAACAAGTAAAACAAAAAAATTGCTTTTGTAATAAAAATGTCCATATCTCCATAAATATATATATATATATATATATTTAAACAGCACGTAGTGGAGTATTAAGATGAGTTTTCTATCTCATCTCGCGACAGAGACAGAAATAATTTTAATACTTCTGCTGAAATATTTCGAACTCATACTTTTGTGTGATTGCACGTTTGTGTGATTTTGATTTAATGACAGATTTTAAATGAATACTAAAATTCAATTGCTAATTTTTATAATTATTACATAATAACTATTGCTAGAATAATTAAAAATTGAAATCAAAGTACTTCCGCACGGACAACTTCTAGACAGTGAAAAAATTTGGTTAATGTATATTGTTTAAAACCAATTATGCCGTTAGGATTGGAGAAGGGATTGAATAATATTTAAATACAGTTGTGCTGTGCATTTGGTTTTTGTACCATTGAAGTTTATATGTTGTACAAGATAATTTTGAAAGGTGACCAAGCTGGTTAGTATCGGAATAATAATGCTTAAAACTTAGTTTAATAATTTTTAACAGAATTAAGAAAGATTTTGTATAAAGAAAAAGTAAAGATAGCACAAAAAAACAGGACGTAAAAAAAAAGAAGAAATGTTTTAAGCTACAGCGAATGTTAACAATCCTCTTCATAGTAGACAGAAAAGAGTTGAGTGACTCAGAATGAGACGGAAGTGAGTTACTGCCTGCGAATAATAAAGAGCCTGATTTGTCTAGATTGGAAAGATATGTTAAAAATATTTATAAGTACAATTAAAAAAAATAATTTTTATACATAAAAAGCACTTCGCAAATTCTGAATATTTTTCTTATTGTTTCGTTATTAATCTCATTTCATTCAGCATATAAATTGACATCGAGACAATACCTCACTTGTCTATATAGCAGTATGTAAGTTTCTTCCTACGTCATACGCGAGGCTGTGAAACCTATGTCCCGCACTATAAGGAGGGTACTTAGGAGTTGTTCGCAGACTGAGATTTTTGATTGGATACCCCATTTAAACTCTATTTTTAATGTACTCATTAGGAATAAGACCTAACAGCTACTTTTTACACACACCCATCTAAGTACATTCAAAAGAATAATTTCAGCCTATGAGTTCGAAGCAGACTATTTACTTGAAAGACTGACCCACTAGTCGATAAAGGAGAGCAGTACAAAATATATTTTGATTTCTTTTAAAAAGTTTTCAATGTTGCCGTTTAAACAATGCGCACTACTTTTCATCCTTCTAAACTAAAAATGAGAACTGTTTCTTAGAAAGCAGTTCATTTTTATTATTTAAAGCGGAGTAAGAAATGAATTATGACAAGTTAAAACGTGTTTCTAAGGCTTCAAATAAATACATTTCTCTCTTTTATGAAATGATGTTTTGTAGGCTGGATCGCCATACTTGGTGCCATATTTTTGTTAGTGTTGGGTGACTTTGAGGAACTGGAGAGTATTCTGGGAAGAGTTGAGTGGTCCACTCTGGTTTTCTTCGCCGCCCTCTTCATAGTCATGGAGGTAATCATTTGGAAGTGTTAATTGTATGTTTTTAATGCACTGACATTTTTTGAATGAGTGTGTAACAGGTTTATAGGTTGCGTGCAATAGAAAGATGAACTCTAGCAACAAAAATTCAAAGTCGAGATTTTTAAAGATTTGCATTTCTGTACAGAATTGTAACAATTTGTTTCTCTTCAAAAATACACTTTTATTTTATCAGTTTTTTGACGTTCTCTTTTAGCGTTGTTTTTTGAATTTCATATTAGTTTATGCCTCTTATACTAATAGCTTTTTTTCTCTCTCGTAGATTTTTTGTATATTTCAACATGAAACACAACTACCATGCAAAATAAGCTTGTATCTTTTAAAAAAAACGCAGTCTTCCCTCGGTGCATCTATTTAAAAAGCTAAGGAATGAATCAAATGAGATGAAGAAAAACGTGATTTTTAGTAATAAGAAATTTTCAAATAAATTTGTAATCAGGTGTGTATTAGAGATTGCAGAAGGTCACGAGTGACTAAGTAACGTATCTAATTGTGATCATCAAGTTATAAGACGTGCATGTGTGATAATCTATTGCAAAAGCAATGTTTATGAGTGAAAAAAAGACAACGCTATTTTATTTGTTGATAATAGGTTTTTAAAATTTTACATTCTATTTATTTTTTAAACTTTTTTAATGAAGGCTTTTTTTTCTAGATTATCCTTATAGCGCATAACTTTTTGATAAAAATTTGAATGGGTAGTCAGGTTAAAATACGGCATTGCTCTGTGTGAGCTTTTCCAATCAATTTTTTGCATTGTTAATGAGCGATGATTATGGGTCCCAATAAGACATTGCATCGAAATAATGGACGTGCGCTTCAATATGATATCTAGGAATCCTTAGGCATTATTATTGAATTACATAAAGCGTTTTTATTCTCTTTTATACTTTTCCATGCAGAATTCTTGAAACAATATTATTGCAAAATATTTCCCAATGAATTTATCACGTGAAAACCACCACACCAATGCATTTCAAATTGTGTTTGCAAAAATATGCACTAATAGAATCAGTTTTTCCTCCTTTAAGAAATCTATTATTTTGAGCATTTATTGTAAATGTTAGTTCAAAAATAATTTTTCCACGCTGTATTAAAAACACTTTCAACTCTCAATATAACATACTGTTTTAAAATCTGTCGTTTTAGTAATATAAGTTTACGAATAATGGAAATTTAAGAACATCCTGCAAGTAAAGATGAATTCCAAACGTTTAAAAAATTAGATCACACTGATTCAGCTTTCATAAACCAAATCTTTCCGTATACAGCTATTTTTAAAAAAAAAATATCAATCTAAAAAGAAAATATTTCGAATATTTTCGTGCTCGTAAAAGCAAAGTTTGTAAAAATGCCATTTTTGTTTCAAATTTAAACAGCAAGAATCGGACAAAATGGTTGGTCATATTTATCCAGAAATTAATAAATGTTTATAGTTAACGATGTTTAATGTTAGTGTTAATAATAAGGAGAAAAATAGCTGCTCTAAGATAACTGAAACTATAAAATTTAGCTTCCATGTCAGGTCAATTTATCCTTTTAAAATGACATTGATGCCGATTAACAAAACACAAAGAGTGAGACTATAAAAACACGAATTAGTTTAAAGTTGATGTTTGTTTTTCAGGCTCTTTCGAGGTTAGAACTTGTGTATTACATTGTGAGCACTACTCAGGATATCATCAATTCTGTGGATTCAGAACACAGGCTCCTGGTGGCTATCGTTATTATCCTTTGGACATCCGCTCTCTCGTCCAGTCTCATCGACAACATTCCCTTCACCACGGTCATGGTAAGACACAGCAATTATTTGTGTATCAACTTATAGAATCATTTTATCCTTATGACTAATTTGCATTATTATTATGAAAGTTATTTATTTTAATAAGACTAGAGGTCTTCCTGTCAACGACACAAACTTATGTCACGATGCCGTTAGCCTTGGATATTACTCTATCTGCCAATACTTTCATTTAATGAGTTATTTAAATAATTTTTAATGTAGTTGAAGCATTCCAGAGGGAATAAACAAACTAATCTCCTTCTAGGAGTTACGTTACACATATATTTTAAAAACAAAAATTTCCACTGCACTAAAAATTGAGCTTTGGTGGCTCAGGGGCATTTGCCTTCCAATGAGGTGAACCGGATTTGAATCCCAGCGAGGCGAATTACGTACCCAGTTCGCACTGATCACTAAAATATCCTCAGGGGTTGGCGGATCATGGATTCGAATTCCCTAGCCATCAGGCTAGCCGTGGGAGATTTTCATGGTTTTTCTCACCATGTACCGCAAATACGGGTAAGTTCCATCAAAAAGTCCACCAGGAAGGCAAATTTCTCCCAATACTTGATCCAAGAGTTCCCTTTTCTTCTGGATTGGGTACAAAATTACGAGGCTACAGAATTGAACACACTAATAGTCGTAAACCCGAAATTGGGTCAGCTGTTCAATGACACTTATAAAATAAAATTTTAAAAACTGGATCCGAAATGATTTCAGTACACACAGCTGTCGAAAAATATCCTCTGTAATAGATAAATCTTAGGTTAGAGTCCCCTAGCCGTCAGGCTAATCACTGAAAGTTTTTGTGGTTTTCCTACCATATAGCGCAAATGCGGGTTAGTTCCATCAAAAAGTCCTTCACGAAGATAAAATTTCTACCAATACTTAATACAGGAGTTGTCTTGTCTTCTGGAAGGGGTTTAAAATTACAAGGCTACGGAGCTGAACATTGGTTGCCGTAAACTGAAAATTCGATCTGTTGTTCAATGACTGTTATAAAATAAAAATATCTTAAAAATTGATTAAATAGGTATTAATATTTAGGTTAAACTTTCACCACGCCTAAATTATAAATTGGTTCAAATACTACGGCAGTATCTAAATTCATTACTCTCTAAGAGAAGAATAATAAACATCAAAAGTTCATAATTCATAAATTGTTTTTCTCTATTACTTATCGCTATATATAATAAAGTTAGATGATTCAATTGGGTCTGATTGCCCAATAACACATTGGCGTGCGTATGCTAATCTATCACTGTGGAGCAGAAACGTTTTAAACAGTTTAGGATGATTTGTTTCCGATGTCACGGACACAAGCAATCTTTTTTAGAAATTTGATAATGACGCTGAATAATTTAAATTTTGATTTCCAACAACATTTTGGGACATATATTTCCGTACAGATGACCTAAGTCGTAGTAATCCCTTTTTGTAACCCTTGCTACACAAAATAAAAATGTTAGACTAAAAGAGTCGAACGTTTCTTGATTAAAAACAAAAATTACTTTCTTTGAAAGAAGTTTTTATGAATTGTGTTGTTCTTCTCTTCTTGTGTGAAGGTGCAAGTGATTTGTGACATTTCAAGCAATGAGAAACTTCCACTTTTTCCTCTTGTTCTATCCTTGGCACTGGGAGCTTGCTTCGGAGGTTAGTTTTAATTCTTTCTTTTTTCCCTTTTCTTCCCAATAGAGATTAAGTCAAAATAAAAGCCCCATCTTCTTCGAAGATGGGATGCTTGATGAAATCAGTCATGCCATTGGACTCGTGTAAAAGATGTACTACGCAAATACTTAAAAATTATTTCATTAAAGATGCATGCAAAGGTTTTATGAGCAAGTTTTGATTTCTTCAAATGATTCGTTATGAGGCTTACATCAAGATAATGGCGATAGCAGACGGGCTGTTAAATCAATCATGTCATTGGACATGAGGGGAACCTGACATGATATGAGATTTGGGGATCGCCGAGTCAAGGCCTTAATAACAAACGTGTTATTATTTTTCTGGTCATTTTGTTTTTGAAATAATGCTGATGTCAGTTAGACGTCAACTATTCAAAACTTGCTTACATTTCCCCTGTTTATACGTATATTTTAATGAAAACATTTGTGACATATTGAGAAATATCACCTTAGTCCAGTAATTTTATATTTAAAAAAGGATATTTCTATGTTAGAAATTAACACTCAAGATTTTTTTCGCAGAAAGCTTTGTCAGGTTATTATAAATGCTCCCTGAAAACTCATTTTCTCTCCTTTATAAGCTTACCCTTTTTGAAGGAAAATGGAGTGAGCTGAGGGGGACATTTGAATTTTTCTAAACAGGCTGCGAAGGCACTGTTTCCATTGCATTTTTTCACACTGAATAGATTGAGAACAAGTTCGAGATAATCAAACTAATAGTTTAGAAGTTATAAGGGTTTTATATACAAATTTATACTTGCACCTATTTACATATCTGATATTGCAATCTATGAACAGAGCAAGTGAGACATTTGCTCTGTTGTATTTTTTACGCTAAAGCAAATGAAACTATACACAAGCCAATAGAAAGTACAGTTCAAAAGTTGCAAGCGTTATCTATTATAAAAAGTACTATTTTTGGCACAAGTTAGTACACTTTTTACCTTTCTATGTCAAGGCGACCTGAACATGTGAGGTGTATTTTCCGATTAATTTACACTGAATTGAATGAAATAAAATTCGATCTCACAGAATATAGTTTTGAAATGATAAGAGTTTTCCTCATAGCAACTACCATTCAAAATAATACAAAAAATAAATCATACAAAAAATAAATCATTTCAAATTTTTAAATATTAGCTCATTCTAATCGTGTCTTGTCTCTTTCAATCAATTGAGAAAAAATAAGCAGGAAACAATACTTCACTTGTCTATACAGCAATGTAGAGTGTGTAAATAATTGCAAGTACAAAATTGTACATAAAACACTCATTATTCTTCTTCTGATCATCTCGAGAATTGGCTCATTCAATTCAGCGTAAAAAAATTTCACCAGAAACTTCACATTAATTCAGATAGTCCTTGTACAGCAATGCAAAGTAAATAAATACGTTAATACTTATCAAAAGAAGTACATTTTATACAGAAGAGCCTTTGCAACTTTTGAGTTATTTGTTCTATTGACTTTTGTCTAGTCTCATTCGATTTAGCGTAAGAAAACACTGCCTCATTTGCTTGTATGGCAACATCAGATGCGTAAATGAGTACAAATTTATAATTTTTGTACACAAAACCCTTATTGCTTATAAACTGTTTCTCCGATCGCGTAAAGATTGGTCTTAATCAGTTTCAGAAAAATTGTGTACTTCGGAAACAGTACCTCACTTGCTTGCTTAGAAGAAATTCAATTCTTTCTCTCAAATCACCCACATTTCCCTAAAAAAAATGGGAAATGTATACGAGAGAGCAGGAGAGTTTTCTGATATAATTTATGCGAAATTAACAAAGCTATTGTCAAATATTGTTTTGGGTATTGATTTTTCCTAAGAAAAGTCTGATTTTACTGGACCACCTATGAAATTGAGACATTCATTTTGACCTACCCTGTACATGGTGCTTATATTTATAGTTGCTCTTTCAAAAGGGAGTAAAAGAAAAATCACCACTGGTCAGAATGACCTGATTCTTTGTCCGAATATACGTGGAGCAAAGAAAATTTGTTTGTGTGAGGGAAAAAATACTTCAAAAGTTGATCGATAGATAAGGTTGTACCAAGATTCACGTTGGACGTTGTACTTTATTACCACAAGCAGAAATAGTTTCAAAAAAATATGCCAATTTAAAGACGTGACTTACTTGCACATGGCACTTCTGAAGGCTGGGAAAATGCAGTTCCTGCTACCATAACTCTATCATTGAAGTTCTTGGAGTTATAAGAGAGAGACATACGCAGCAAACTATTATAGATTATTAAAGCTGCGAACACGCAACTAAATCTATAATAACCATTGTTTTGAAAGTTTTCACGTAAGAAGAAACGAAGAGGTGTTTAATTTCCTTTGAAACATTCTGTTTGTCCACTGCCTTTCAGTTACATCGCAACATCTCAATAAAGTGGAATATCTGTTGAGAAAATATTAATAGAGTGTCAATATCTTTTACAAATTTTTAAATATTGCATAAGGAAGTGGTACAGTTTAATTTTTAATTTTTTTTACATAGTATAGGATACATGTATTTCGTCACATAACAAAGCTCACTAGACTCAAATAGTGACATATTTATCCGCCATAAAACTGCTCAAAAGGTTTTTTGAATCGAATATCTTAAACTTCTTGAAATTTTTCATTGACATTAAAAATTCCAGCCAATGAGAGCAATTATATTTTTTCATAGACAATTGCTTTGTAGGCGGCATGTGAACAAAAAAAATAATATTTATTTATGCTATATAATTATACCGAATAATGTCAATTATTTTGGAGGCTGATCACTCGTATTGAATAATTTGTCCCTATGCTTCATCACTCTTTAAAAGGTTTTCTGAATTATAGTTTTGGAAGCATGTTTTTTTATTTTTTTCCCTCACGTTAAGTATCATTTCGTCATAACTGACCGTCTTTTGAGGGGTGTTTTAATGAATGCACGGAAAAGAACATTATTTGACATTATTTATTTGTAAGTATTCTTTTCCTTTAAATGTAATAAATGTTTGAGAATATCAAAGTTTTTATAAATAATGTAATTTTTATTTTCAAGGGCTGTTTGCAAAAGTGGTTTTCCGCATCGTGCATATAAAAATGTTAAGCTTATTTATTATTCAATTAATCTGTATTCTGAAATATAACGTAATAGTAAAAATGCTTTATTTTATTTATTTTATTTCATGATTTATTGCAAATGGAGCGTGTGATAGTTTTTGTCATTTCGCACTGCCACTGAAATTTTTTCAGATAAGACAAATGTCTGGATTCAAATGTCCTTAGTCATTTCAGAGTATTTAATATGAAAGCACAAAATATTATTAACATTTTTTTACTTCAGCTTCAAAAGATACATAATAAATTTGGTGAAAGAATTTCCTCGTAAATTAAACATTTTCATGAACGAAAATGGAGTTAGAATTTATAATTCGCAATTTAAGTCCCAAATTATTATTTTTCATTTATTTAAATCTTACACTATGAAGTAGTTTTATAACTTTTAATTATTTAATTTAATTTTTTTAAGTAATTTTATAGCTTTTCATGAATTTTACAAATTTGATGTAATTTGTAATAAACTTTTAAAGGGCCAATATATCCCTCTGTTTGTTGAATGCAAAATTTTATTTCAAAATTTTAAAGTCAAAATATTAGTTTAAAACCAAATGTTCCATTCTTGAAACATTGGCATTTTTAAGACTATTTTTAGATTGCGAGTTATGCTGCGTGTGTTTCAATCGGTTGATATTATGGCACTTATTCCAGAGATATTTGAATGAAAAAAAGGGGATAAATGTTATTCATTTCAACTAAACATAAATTTTTCTGGTGACTAAAAATGCAGTGATAGTGACATAATAATGAGAAAGCAATTCACTCTTTCATCTCTCACTCTCTCTTTTGCTATTCTAACTATTGGAAATATATCTCTTTTTTAACTATTGAAAAAAATAAATTTCTGATAAAGTGATTGCTTTTAGGGGTGCGATGTACTTCGTTTGCGTTATTTGACAATGGATGAGTTAAAATTTAACATTAAATAGGTTTCTCAATTTTTTCCAACAATGATATTGAATAGATTCCTGCTATTAATAGTTTTTCCTTTCTTATTTATTTTACTCTTCTGATAAATTTTGCTGTTACCGATTGGATCAAAGTGTTTTCCTCTCATCCCATGTCTAACAGAGGATTTGAAGGAGTTTATTTCCTGATACAGTTTTGGTAAATATTATCATTTGGATAAATATTTGTCAGCCAGGAGTTCTAATGTATACAGATGAAAATAACTCAGAGCCTGTTATTATAGTTGAAAGTAACATTGGAGATGATGAAGCAGAAAATCAAGTCAATTGCAAATAAAAACGAAAGAGAGAAAACCAAATTATAAATCGAATAAGGAAGTAAAATTTGATGAGCCAACAGAATTGAAAAAGAAGGAAACAATTTTGAAAAATTATCGTGAAAGCATGAATTGTGCTTGTCTTTGCGTGCTTTAAAAACTATTTCTGAAAAATATGTAGATTTTATTGTCAGTATACAATACTTTTATGCTTTAAAAAAGCAATTAATATGCTTCCCAAAAATATATTTTACATCTTTATGGGCTTCCAAATCGATACCGTTTTGTTTTGAGAGAAGATACCGAACCGTTGAAGCGACCACAGTCAGTAAAAAAGACTCCCTGTCAAACATCAATGTTCCAAAAATGGAACATCGTTAAGAACACACTTATTTTATTTTATTGTCTTTAGATGCTCATTAGTAGTGAATTTATCAAATTTGATTTACCCTTTCTTAATTCGGCATTTAAGCAGTCAAAATATTCAAGACATTTATTTTAAGGTAAAAACAAATTTTAATTCGTCTGTTATCAGAATTTTCCAACATGTTATTTTGACAGTTCCTATCGTTGAGGTTTCGATTTCTTTTCATTCAATTTTTACCCAAGAACAATTTTAAAAATAAATTAATTTCATTTGTGTATATTTTATTTAAGGAAACGGGACTCTGATTGGTGCTTCTGCAAATTTGGTGACAGCCGGAGTGGCGGAACAGCACGGCTACAGGTTTTCATTTTACGATTTTTTCAGGTGGGTATTCTAATAGTTCAGAACTGTTATTCATCTAGATGAGCATTCTTTTTTTTTTCAAAAAAACCTTTATAAAAAAATTAAATGCATGCATTCTGAAAAAATCTGATTTATAAACAATTCATTGAATTTCCCCACATGCACTAATATAAATTTTATGGTTTTGTAAAACAATAGTTCTTAATCTTTTATTCTGTAAAGAAAAAAAAACTTGTGATATGTATAAGTACCAAAGAAAAAGTTAGGAAGATCAAACAGGCAAATAACAAAGTAGATAAAAAGAATGATAGTATCCCAGGGTCAAAATAAAAATTTAGGCTGAATCAATGAGCTAAATTAAAAATATAGAGAAAACATGGAAAATAACAAAGATAAATGAAAAGAGAAGAAAAAATAATTATGAAAGTAAAATATTTTTAAAAATATTTAAGAATGAAATTTGAATAAAAAAAATATTAAAATGCCGGAAAACAAAATAATAAAAACATATAATCTCTTCATCAGCTCACACGATTATATCCGCAAAAAGGAGTGCTTTCTAATTTTGTATCAGTATGAAGCAAAATATTTCAATGCAATAGTGTGAGGAGCACTCAAAAAAATTGAAACGAAAATAGAACACATTAAGTTAAAAATATATACGAAATAAAACATATTAAACAGAAAACAAATTAAAATGTAACGAAAATATAGAACAAAACACAAAACGAAATACACTGGTGAAATAAATGAAGATAATTTGCATATTTTATTGAATTTCATGAAAAGAACTGTACTGAATGTAAAACCACTGCAAGGCCTGTATATCTGTTAGAGGGGTCCATATTAACCAATTTTTTTGTGTGGTTATTCTGCAACCGCTGTTTCATGCCTTCCGACTCCAATGAATGTTGCGCACGATCATGAGTGTGTATTACAATTGTTGAATGGTTATTTAATTTGTATTGTATCAGTGTATTTCATGAGAATCGATCCTGTAGTTCTAGAGATAATCAGCCAAGTTTGCAAATTCTCTTAATTTCTTACTCCAGAGTAGTGAAGTGAATTCAAGTGAACTTACACCTACCGAAATCTTTCAAGAATGATTTGAAATATTTTCATAATATGATTACCAGTTTACAAAATATGAAATCAGAAGAGCTAATAGAGGTTAGAAGCGTAAATAGAGGGGAATCTCTTATAGCACTTTCTTACTGCAGTATTGAAGCGCGTTTGGTTTGTTAGTTACCTTGGATTGCCCAAAAATGAATGTGCGCAATGTAATAATATTGCACTGGATAATTTAAAGTTTATAATTGATGAGGTTGATATTTAATTATACAGTTTCAATGATTTCAGAAAACTAACATTTTTTTAAAAAGAAGAAACATGATTTGCCCCTTTTGCCACTGATTTGCCCGAATTGGATTTGTACATGGTAAAAATATGACTAACAAAGAAGTTTTTAGTAAATTTATTAATAATTATCTAACAATTAACTCAATGACTTTATCTAGAACTTAATTACATGAGTTGGGTATCCATTGAATATTTTATCAAATTTTGAAAGAATTTGGTTATTTGTTTTTTGGATAAATAAACATTAATACACATTCTCTTAATTCTATTCATTTGATTAAAAATGGTATTCAAATAAATGTTTTTAGAAGCACTAGATTTCCAACTAATTAGTTTATTTCTATTAAACTAAAATAATTTCTTTTATCGTATAAATCAACAAGGCAGATATGTTTTCCTCTTCTAATACCTATATCAAAATTTTTTTAATTGACATTATAATCATGATTACGTAGCAAGATTAATTCCTCGGGGTAAATATTATTCAACAAAATTGTATAATCTGGAAAATTAAAGATAGTTACTCATCAATAAATCTAGAAACAAACTTAATATTAAGAACATAATTTTTTTCGTAATAGTTTAAAAATAAATTAGCTATAATAGAGATGAAAAATTAGATTCTGGTGGTATTCCATCAATTTGAATAAAAGTATGTTTTCTTTTGTGAAGATAAGTATTAAAGAAACAAAAATTAGTAAAAAGTTCCCAATAATCAAAATCGCAGTTAAGGATATTTTTAAAATCGTAATAATAACTCAAGAGAACATCTTTTAGTTTCAAAAGGAAAATGCTATTGGAAAGATCCTGGAAGTCAAAAGTCGCAAGGGAATTAATTTTATTTTGTTAAATAAATTCTAAAATCGGTTGATTTCTAGTGATAATCCAAGAAAAACTGCCTTTAACAATATAGAAAAATTTTATTTATGTAGTTAGAGAAAATGGTGCCAAGTTTAGTTAGGTAAATATTAAACCTACTTGTGATTGTTATAAATTTGATAGGAATATTATGAAATAAGTAAGGAAATTGTATGTTGCTAATTTTAATTTTTAGCCACTTACATAAATCTAAGGTTTCTTACAATGATAATATTATTATCTAAATTACTAAGCTCAAAATGTTTACTATTTTTTAATTCCTTATTTAAAAGTTCAACATAGAATTTTTTACATTAGAAAACATAACTATTGTTAGCTTTGCCTATGGGGGTAGTTATAAAATTTTTTGTAGTTGCTTAATTAATCGATCAATTTTAGAAAAATGTGTTGAATTGTTATTGTTATTTAAATTTTCCTTATTATTGGAAGCAAATTTTTTTTAAAGTAATAATAACAGCCCATTTCCATTCTGCTAACATATCTAAAGGTGAAAATCATCTATTTGATGTCTGTAAGCAAAAAATATTGCGTTTATTAAGAAAGTATTTTAGATGGTAAATGGTATATATGGTAAATGGTCCTAAGTTTTGTGCCTTTTATTATTAAATTTGTAAGTTATAAGTTTTCTATATTTTTTAAATTATCAGTAATAATATGTTTATGATGTTTATCAGTAAGGCGCGGATTTTGATGACATTTGAATTTTTTTGCATTTTTTGCATTTTTGGACATTTTGGTCTTTTAGAGCATTTTTTTAGATTTATAGAGCATTTTTCTTTAAATTTTTGGGCGTATTTTGCATTTTAATGCATTTTTTTAAGTTTTTTGTTAATTTTTCCAATTTTTATTATTTTTTATCAATTTTCATTATTACACTGGCTTCTAAACAATGAAGAAAATCTATAGGATAATAACAGGTGAAGCAAAATCTTTTCAAATTGAAGAAGAATTGTCAGTAAGTGAGACCGTCTTTTTCAAGTACACACCTATAACATCAGTAGACGTTGAAAGAAGCTTCTGCAGGAATGAAAATTTACTTTCAGACAAGAGACGCTCGTTTACATTTCAAATTATCAAAAAACATTTAATAATCCAATGTAATTCTGATATTTAGTAATATTATGAGATGGAAGTTGTTATATCCATTAAAGTTTCTATACAAAATAAAAATATTTTGGTGTCAATATATTTTCCTTT